ACCAGAAAAAGTCTAACTTATTTTTACAAAGAGAAAGATGCAAAGTTATCATATCTTTGCTTGCGATCTCCGAGATCTGTGGACACAGTGACGTCATGAGGAGGGAAATCGTAGCTTCAGCTCTAAGAGCGGAGTGAACTAGCCCTTCTATTCTCTTTAGCCCTGGTTGAAACCTGTGATTAATCTGTGATGTGTGACTGAGGTGAGCTGACTTCTTTTTAAACAAAAAATACTTTTCTTCAAAGTTTCATTTCCATGGCCAAAACAAAACTACAATCCCTTCCATAACAGGTGGTCTTTTTTTTACCTCAAGTGCCTACTTTTGAATCATAAAGTACCTACGACTTCCACAAGTTTCTCTTTCTCATTGTACATAAAAAATATCATATTTGTACTTGTTACTCGATGTACAGTTCATTGTTCTGAAATTTTAATACTATTTCAATAACAGATTTTCTAGTTGTTAAATGTGGTTGCCAACGACTTTGTAACTTCACATTATCCTGGTTTAGAAATTTAAAGAAGAAACATATTTACCCGGATAATGTTTAAAATATTTCTAGTATCAAAAAGATAATTTTTTTAATCATATAATATAATTATCTATCAATTTATGAAGTTTATAAACTTAAAGAAGCATTTCTCAGATATTGCTTGTAACAATTCTAGTATCAAAAAGGTAATTTTTTTAAGCATGTTATATAATGATCGATCAATTTATGAATAAGTTTATTAACTTAAAGAAGCATCATTTCCCAGATATTGTTCAAAATAAATTCTAGTATCAAAGGGACATTTTTTATTCAAGTGATAAAAATTATCCTCCAGTTAATGAATTACAAATTTAAAGAAGATACAATATTTTCGGGACGATGTTGAAAATTTAATAATTAAAATTCAATTCTAATATCAAAGTAAAATTCCATTTCAGTACAAAAAAAGAAATATATTGCTAAATATCTTAGCATATTTATAAGCTAAAATTATATTCCAATTTGCGATTTAAAAGAAGAAATTTTTTTTCTGGATAGACTTAAAATGATTCGAGTATCAAAAAGAAAGAGTGTTTCATTCATATACAAAAATTTAAAAAAAAAAATCAGTTTTAGAAATAAAAACTTAAAGAAGAAACATCGTTACCCGTTTAACGTTCAAAATAATTCTAATATCAAAAAGATAATTTTATTGATTCTATAATTATCTAGCAATTTATGAATAAGTTTAGAAGCTTAAAGAAGCATCATTTCCCAGATATTATTTAAAATAATTCTAGTTTCAAGAAGACATTTTTTATTCATGTGATAAAAATTATCTTCCAGTTAATGAATTTCAAATTTAAAGAAGATACATTTTCGGGATGATGATAATTTAATAATTAAAATTCAACTCTAATATCAAAAAGTAAAACTCCACTCAAATAAAAGAAAAAGATATTGCTAAATATCTTAGGATATTTATATGCTAAAATTATATTCCAAATTGTGATTTAGAAGTTTAAAGAAGAAACATCTTTTTCTGGATAGATTAAAAATGATTCTATTATCAAAAAGAGATATTTCATTCATATACTAAAATTATCCATAAGTTTTTGAGTCAGAAATTTAAAAAAAAGAACATTTTCGGATAGATGCTTAAAAAAGTTCAAGATTGAAAAAGAAAAGTAATTTTTTAATGCTCATGGGCTTAAATTATTTTTCAAATTAGGAATAACAAATCTAAGGAAGAAACCTCATTTTTCTGACAATATTAAAAATAATTATTGTTAAAAAGAGTACTCTTTTGACATTATAATACTCTGTTAGTTATCCTTTAATCATTGAATTACAAATTTAAAGAACAATAACTTTTTGGCAATATTAAAAATGATTAGAAAACTAAAACGAAAGTTTTCTTTGTAGTTAAGATTCTCCACGTATTTCTTAATTACAAATTTGTTTTATAACTACAAATTTTAAGAAATAGCGTAATTTTCGTATAATATTGAAATGGGTAGCAATATCGAAAAGTTTTTTTTTTCTTTTGTATCCATATGCAAAAACTATTCATCAATGTGCGAATTACAAATAATTTTTATCAATAACAAAACTTAAAAAAAATGCTATTCCTTAGTTAATACTTGTATTCTTGCATGGAAATATAAAAAAAACTTTCTCGAGCTAAAATTAGCCTCTAAACACAATGTTTCTGAACAAAATAAAATTTATTAAATACGAATTTAGATTTTCCAAACATAAATAAAACTTCTTGCAAATAAAGTGAAACATTGTCTAAATTTAATGAAAAACTTTACAAATAAAACATTTTTGGAATTAAAAGAAATATTATAAAAATCCATTAAAAAAGTTCGTAAATCGAATCTTATATAATTTGAATTGTGCATTTTTTTTAATTAAAACTGTTTCAATAACAAAATATTCAGTTTGATTTATGAAAGAGTTAATGTAAAAAATAACTGATTCATAGAACGCCTGATTTAAAGCAAAAAATTCACTCATGCTAATTGAATACCAGATTTTTTAAAAATAATTATGAGCTTAATATAAATCGTGTTTTAATAAAGGTTTACTTATTACTAAAAACGTATTACTGCTACCTTTTTTTAATATAAATAGTCTTTATAAAACTTGTTTTAGCAGAAAATATTTAAAAATGTTTAAATGAGGAAAAACTCAAAGGACTACTGAATTCCATTAGAATTCTTCTTAATTAGAAAAAATCTGTAATCTGTAAAATATCAAAACTTTTCTAATTATATTTATGTTTATGTAGCCTGCTTAGTTGAAAATCCCGTGTAGCAAATTCCAAAATTGGTCAAAATATGACATTGTTAAATATCGCATTGTTTTGTGTAACAATGCTATTTAATGTATAACAATCAACATTGTATAACAAACAGACAATATATAAATTTAATTGTTTAAAATTTTAATTAGTATGATCTTGATTTATAAACATTAGGTGAAGTAATTTCTCGATAGAACAAGTAGTTTCATTTTTTTTCTTTAATAGAAACGGCATACATTTTTAGTAATCACCATGTATTATTAATATGACCATTGACGCTATGAATATAACTATAATAATTGGAATAATAGCTCAGCAAGCCTAGTATTCCATTCCCTGATGTTTTTCAAGATAAGGCTTATTCATAACAACTTTTTTTTTATTTTTAATATTAACTAGGTCGATTAAAGTAAAATTTGTTTCATAAAAATGATTAATTAAATAAAAGTTTTATTTTTCTTTGGTTATCATTATCATGGAAAAGATAAAATAGAAAGCGACAATGAAAATAATGGGATATTCCTTAAAGAAAATTTTTCACTGTAAACAATCCCTACGTAAATTATACAAGTGTCATCTTTCAATCTTTGCCTTAATGCAATGTATTGTATACAATGCTGGTAACGTATTTAAAAAAAATCGTAAAAACCCAGACACTATCTAAAATTACTTATACGTTTCTTTAAGATATTTAAAATTACCAAACAATGTCTGAAAATTGATGATATAATTGTATTCATACTAAGTAAAATAAGTACAGAAATATAATTTTTTCTCTGTACCACTCTTGTTTCATTTTAACTGTATAAATTAAATAGTTAGAAAATGTTTTTTTTTAATTATGCATTTATTGTAAGAAATATATTATAAAAGTGTTTTTGAAATTATGTGTCTACTAAGCTGAAGTCCTGGGCAACCACAAATTAGAATTATTTTCTCATTTCTAAAATCTCTAATTCTTCAATTCCTTCCTCTAATCGCAAGTGTTTTTAATCTGACATTCAATTATTTTTACAAAGAATAAAAAACAATCATTTTTCTAAGCTTTGTCTGTTAAGAAACATTCTTCTGCTGTAAAAATAAAGCAAAATTTATGATTCTGTTAAGAATGTCTGTTCTGGTTTTTGAAAATGATCCACACACTAGAAATTTAGCCCAAGAAGTGTATAATAACAAGCTTTAAAAGAAGACAAGTATTATTGCACATTTTTATGCCATATTAACTTGATATTACTCATACTTGATAGAAACCTTACTTTTCAGTTTGAATTTTCAAAAATTTATTAAAATGAGATAAATTTTAGAGAGTATATATAACAATAGATGCATTTTTACAGTTTGGTTATGCTTACTCACAGATAAAAACTCATATTTTATCATTTTTTATTTATTTAAAAAACAGTAATATTGCATTTTAAATTAAATACACTACAATAGGCTATTTTTATAATTTGAACCTTTAATAAGCAGTTTGTTTCTTTCCTCTCCAAACATATAATCAAAACTTATTTTTATACATTTAATTTTAAAAATCGAACAATTTTATTGAAAGCATAATATTATAAAATTTTGCATGAAATATATAAAAATGGCTAAATTTGTATGTTTTTTATTTTATTAATTTACTATCTTTCTGGTATCAAACAAAGTAATGCATTTGCTTGCACTAATTTTATTGAAGGCTAAGCAAAGCTATGCGGTTGACGTAAATAAATTTCCTCGCAATGAAGATATCCGAGCAGTATTAACATTTATACAGAAATCAACAGTTGAGATTTTGTTGTGCTTTCTTACCAGAAGAAATAAAATGGGCAGAGACCGGCTGTTTTCTACAACACAGAATTTAAATTGATTGGATTTCTGAAAACAGATGCCATAAACTCATTTTCGAATAGCTGATTAGAAGAATCAGGTAAGTGACATTTTAGTGTTTGAGTAAATGAGCGTTAAAGTTTTTCCTCGTTTTTATTTCCCTCAATCTTTAATGTTTTTAATATATTTGTGAAGACCTAACTCATAAAATATTTGCGGTATATTTATTTGACTAACTCTTTTATAAAGGAGGATTTTTAATGATCTTTCGAATATATTTTTGAATTTATAATTATTAAAAATTAAACCAAAAGATTTATTATACGTAAATTTAAAAACTTGCAATATTTAGTCAATAAAAATTATATTAGTTTAAACTGAATTAGTCATGCATAATGTAAATAAATTAACAAGAAACAATGAACAAACTATAAGTCCAACAGCTTTATTTACAATTCAAAATATAAAGGCAAACAAAAAAATAAGAGGACATCAGCGATTTTTTGTGCACAGATCGAAGTTTAAAAAAAAAGACAAACAATAATTTATTTACATTTTTTTAAAATAAAAACAAAGATCTTGATGTCATTGTTATTTACATGGAATGTTTCAGTCTTACCAACAATGAAAGACGCTTCATGGAATGTCAAAATAAAACAATTAAATAAAGGCACACTGATTTAGCAATAAAGGAAGATTCAATTAGTTAAGCTATTTCAGAGAAGTACATTCAATAAATTAAAAATATTTTTATTTATACGAGAGGACACAGAATGTTAAGTACACTTTGGTAAAATGTTCTTGGTAAACATTGAGTAAATGCATGTAATTATTCCAAATTCTGAAATATATGCTAAATAAGCTATTTATGTATCATATATTCTGCCTATGCTAATTTATCAAGTTTTTAAACTTTAAATATAATTATTTAGTCTGCAAAAATCAAAATTCCAGGTGAAAAAAATTAAATTATTTAATTGGTGTTTTTACAAGGGTACGCTTTACAGTGTTTCAGGGAAATTTTGCCGTAGACACATTTACCGTACCAAAAGCAAAAATAATGAAATTAAAGAATTTTATATTTTGATGCTAGCAACAGAGAGATATCTGATATAAAGTTTCTTAAGCAGTAGATTATCTGATAAAATTTCCATTAAATAGCTTTATTTTTTTTTTGATAAAAATTTTTTAAACTGTGAATTTTTTGATAAAAATTTTCCAGAACAATCTCTTATTTCTCCTAAATAGTAGTTTTTTTATGATAAAACTTCTATTAAACAGTGGATTTTTATTAAAATTTCTCTTAAACAGTGCATTCTTTGATAAAATTTTAACCAAACAAGTGGACTTGTCAATAAAATTTCCTCTAAACCAAGAGTTTTCTTTCACCAGTTTTAAACCCATAACAACCTATTGCTTATTATTGCTGAATTACATTAAATGTTTGCTAAAAATCTTTCAGAGTTAAAATTTAAATAATTTTTATAATTTTAAGAAAGTTGAATTATTAAAATTTTTTAGTAATAACATGATAAACATAATGATACAAAAATATAGAAACATAATTTCAACCAAAATACATGTTTGTGTTATACATACATATGTGTATATAAGATTTCTAAAAACAGTGCTGTCTTTAACCAATAAAGAACAAGATATTTAAATGCATGTATTTTTATTACATTGAGTTTATACAATACATGCAATTATTTTTTTAAGTGTTTTTCGGAATTTATAAAAATATTAATTCTGCTTTCATAGTTTTTTCTTTAACGTATACATTGCCTACAATGCTTAAAGTGAAGTTGATAAAGGTTAAAACTACTTTTAACATTATTTTTTAACTTACACAACCTGTCGCATTCCATTCATACAATATAATTCATTCATTTCACAACTATTGGTTGATTTTTAAGACTACTTTAAAAATAAATTTAAATACCTTCAAGTACTTCATGAATACCACATTTTTTTCTCCAGGTAACAGTTAATGCAACTGAAAATAAATTACCTAACTCTAAAAGAAGTAACAATGAAAGAATATATTTTGAAAATTTAAGCAAAATGAAGAGATAAATAATAAATTATGTGTATAAAATATGTACAAATTAAAATCAACAAACACCAGAATTGTTGTATAAAAATAGGTTAACATACACAAAAAAAAAACACAAACATTTTGATTTTAAAGGATTTTGGCACTGAAGATGAGAAATGGAATGTAGTTTACCGTTTCAGTTAAAAATTGTAAGAACCTTTTTCGAAAAAAATAACACAGACTTAATAAATAAAGTTAATTTAAATTTTTTTTAATATTCACAAACAAAGCTGCCAATATTATCTGCCATTTCTTAGTTATCATTTAATATTTATTGATGGTAAATTAATACTTATTCATCACAAATTTTTAATACTTCTCATTTAAACTTAGTAATGAATAATTCTAATTTGTTAAACATCAAATTGTCTTAAATAATGGGGGGAAAAAATTCAGACTCGTACTTTAAATTTGGGTCAAAAATCATAAGAATGTTTAATTAAGAAATAAAACTGTTATAATAAATAAATTTAATTTTAAAAAAAGCAAAATTAACAAACAAAACTGATTATAAGAACTGCCATCACTTATTATCACTAGTTACCCTTATTGTAATATAAGAATATGAATTCATAACAAAATTTTATTTATTATTCAAATTTCATTATGCATACTTGTCGAAATTAGACATAATACATATCAAAATCAGATTATCATAAATAACAAAAAAAGTTCAGATTTCTTTACTTTATATTGCGCTCATGAAAAGCTGCTTAATTCAAAAAATGTAAAATACATAAAGTTACTAAACTTATCTGATACTTATTATCTCTAAGGTTATCGTTTTGCAAAATAAGAATTTTGCACATTTTAAATACTTATTGGGCAAACTTTATAATGAATCATTTTTATTATTATTCATTTCCTCATAATCACTTATTATTTGTCGAAAAATAAATATCAACAAACAACATTACTTTGCAAGGTCTTACTCTAAAACTTAATGTAAGTTAATTAAAACTATTGCATTTTTTAACAAATTGTAATCATTTCAACATGTTTAGGCTTATTTTTAAATTGAACAGTTGAAATGGTTGTCAGAAAATTAAAAACTAATTTCAAAATTCGGCAGCTCTGAACACATCTCACAAAGCGATTGCTACAAATTACCTCTCTCAGTTTCGCTGGAAAGCTAACTAAAAGAAAGCCTTCAGTATTCACAAAATATTTGAAAATTATTCTAAATGGAATGTCATTCATGAAGTAAATTAAGTAGAATGGAAGATGTCACAGTCACAAACAATTATTTACAGTATGAACAAAACAATTATGAACGAACAAAATAATTATGAAGATCCTAAGTGAAGGAGTAAGTGGATGAAAGTGCATTTAATATTCTAAACAATATATCAACATGTTGTGAAAAAAAAACTAGTGTTATTTTAATTTAAAAGTTCCATAATGACAGTCTTAGTAATATATTTTAGAAACTTTGTGAAAAATTCAAGTATAAACAGGGATGCCACTTAAATCTGGAAACAAAAAATTACTATACATAATACACAATATATTTAGAGGAAACACACAATCACCGTGGTCAGGTGTGAGTTATATTAGGCAATCTATACTAGTATCAATTGCTGGAGAAACTAAAAGAAATAAAGAACAGCTTAACACACTTAAAACTTAAAATGCTATAGTAAATGAAACATCCTTAAATATCCCATAAATTACACATTGAGAAGTCTTTTTTAATTAAAAAANATCGTTTTGCAAAATAAGAATTTTGCACATTTTAAAGACTTATTGCGCAAACTTTATAATGAATCATTTTTATTATTATTCATTTCATCATAATCACTTAATAAAGTAATGTTTATTTTTTGACAAATAATAAGCTTTAAAGTAAGACCTTGTAAACTTAATAATGTAAGTTAATTATAATTATTTCAACATGTTTAGGCTTATTTTTAAATTGAACAGTTGAAATGGTTGTCAGAAAATTAAAAACTAATTTCAAAATTCGGCAGCTCTGAACACATCTCACAAAGCGATTACTACAAATTACCTCTCTCAGTTTTGCTGGAAAGCTAACTAAAAGAAAGCCTTCAGTATTCACAAAATATTCGAAAATTATTCTAAATGGAATGTCATTCATGAAGTAAATTAAGTAGAATGGAAGATGTCACAGTCACAAACAATTATTTACAGTATGAACAAAATAATTATGAACATCCTACGTGAAGGAGTAAGTGGATGAAAGTGCATTTAATATTCTAAACAATATATCAACATGCTGTGAAAAAAAAACTAGTGTTATTTTAATCTAGAAGTTCCATAATGACAGTCTTAGTAATATATTTTAGAAACTTTGCGAAAAATTCAAGTATAAACAGGGATGCCACCTAAATCTGGAAACAAAAACTTACTATACATAATACACAATATATTCAGAGGAAACACACAATCACTGTGGTCAGGTGTGAGTTATATTAGGCAATCTATACTCGTATCAATTGCTGGAGAAATTAAATAAATAAAGAACAGCTTAACACACTTAAAATTTAAAATGCTATAGTAAATGAAACATCCTTAAATATCCCATAAATTACACATTGAGAAGTCTTTTTTAAAAAAAAAAAAAAAATTAGAAATAAAATTCTCTGTATTTTCTCAGTTTGTAAGGAAAAACTCATAATTCCCTATTATTGCTTGTGATTTTTAAATTCCCTATATTTAATTTTCTCCCTGTATTATATATATTTCTTTTTGTGGAGTGGCAACCCAGACTTGGCTTAGAATCGTGAATCAATCTTTAAGTGATAAAAATATTATCTAACTCGGACTATTACAAAAATTATATACTAAGGGCAGTCATTATGGACCACTAGAAAACAAGATATTGGTTCAATGGAAAGTGTAGACATGGTGGGCTTTAATGTCAATCATCACAAAATCTTTTTAATGCTCACATATTTTCTTCATCCACTTATAAACAGAGTAAGCTTCAACATATGAAAAATTATCAGTAAAAATCCTTCTTTAAGTGATATCACACAGATGTCTCATTACTTTCCCTAAAAAAATATATATAATTTTTAATTAGAAAATTATTTTTATGGAATATGTTTACTTTTGTGACTTTACAATATAAGAAAACAATTAGAGTAAAAACTACATCACATGGAATTGAGAAGTTGATAAAAATATTTAAACAAAACTTGCTGCTTCTTTTTGTGAAATTCAATGGTAAGGCAATGGACTATATCCAGAGCAAGTTTATTGAAAGTGAGTTTTGTAATAAAATACATTAAATTCCTTCTCATTTTTTTAATGTTTATGTTGTTAATTATTGAATTTCTAGAATTTTGGAATGATCTGTTTGAGAAAGTTTGACAACTGTATATAAACACTCTTTGTATTCTTTCACTTATTTAATCTATGTTAAACAATGGAAGTTTTTCTTTTTTAAATTTATTGTAAGTTTTAAAACAAACATGAGTTAGAATTAATGTAAAAATTAATATTCATAAATAAATAAACAATTATAAATTAAACTAGATTAAAAAATTTTATTTTAAAAAACATATGGAGTCCTATGTTATGGCAATGTAAGAAAATAATCACATTTAAAATAAATAGCTAGAGTTTAATTTTCAGAGGGGAAAAAAATAAATTTCGAACTTTTAAAGCAAAACAATTATCATTAATAAAGATAAATATTGAATAATAAAAAAATTTAATGTTCATACAGTTTTTCAAGAAAAAGTAAAACTTTATTACAAAAGTAGACACTGTTTTCCCTGTCAATTCAAAATAAAAAAAGTTTAAAGAACTGGTTATTTATTTATCTTGAAAATAGCACCATAGATAAAGTTAAATTATAACTTACTTCACCTGTTATCCAAATGTAAGCATTTTGAAAGAAAAATTCATATTAGAATAAGTTTCGAGTAAAAGCACAAATTAGGAAATATAACATTGAAAAACAAATGAATCTGTTATTTTCAAAAGTTTGCCCTTTTTCAAATAATCAATTCAAATGTTTTCATCCAAAAAAAAAAGTGATTTACTTACTCAGATTCTGATGAAACTTCAGCAGTTGTCAACTGAGGCAAAACAACTTTCTTTCCTTCAACAGCAGAAGCGACATTGGTATTGGTCTCTTTCTCCGAGTCTTGGTCTCCCCCTGCAGAAGGGGTTGTCGGAATATTTAAGTCCTTATTTACATTATTCACACTTGAATGAAGACTGTCACATCGTTCAGGAACAGGTAGTTGTTCTGGGCTTGACACTTCATCTGAAAAATAGATGATAATTTAAATTTTTTTGTTATATTATGATGCAGTAAGTAACTCTATTCTGGCAAAGTTACAAAATATAAAGGTAACTCAAGTTAGTAGGTCAGCAATGGGATTTATTATTATAAATTTAGGAAGAAAACTAGTTTGTTTAAAGAAATTAAATTGAAATTAAAAGCGAAATGAATACCTACAATTTTTCAAAAATAAATTGGCTTTAAAAAGTGTTACAGTGAAAATTTAACAAAGTAATACTTTTAAATAATTCAATCTCTAATATTCCATAAGAACTCATAATTAATTATAAATGAGGATAATTTAAATCAAAATAAATTATTACAAGTTATATGGGTTTAAAGTAAACAATATGAAAATTGCTATTTCTTAAAAACAATTTTTTACTTTTAATTTTTTTAACTTGAATCGATCAATTATTAACTATCATACTGGTCAATTTTATTTTCTTCAACTGTTCTCGAAAAAATGCTAACCCAGCTTTTAAAAAAGCTTTATATTTTTACTTTTAAAATAAAATGTCCCTGCTAAAGTAAACATTTATAGTTTAAACTATTAGCTTGGAACATGTAAATAATAAATCAATGTTCAAGACAGAATTATATTTTAATTTCAATTCTACTTAAAATTATGACCAAATTATTACATACTTCACAGATTTGGTTTTTGTCACTGAATAGAATTTTTTTAAAAAAAATTCTTACCTAGAAGTTCTGGAGTGAAATTAGGATCAAGGTATGAGGATATATCTTGCAGTCTTTGGGGAACAATTCCTCCTTTTTCCCTATTTGTGTTCCCTCTGCCCCAAGGCACTATGGGATCTCTTGTAGGAAGACCTACGGTTAAACCTATTCCCTCACTTGGTCCCACAGGAGTTGAAGGGATAATGTTGCGAGGTAATCCCCAGGAACTTGTGTATTGTGAATAGGGAGAAATGTTACTCCCTATGCTCCCTGGTGTAAGAGGTGGAAGATTAAAACCCTTCGTTGGAACTGAAAAATAATAAATCACACAATTAGTATTGATATTGATTTTTTAAAAAATATTTTTAATGAATAATAATTTTTTTAGAATATTTTTTGAATAACAAAACTTATTTTTGAAATTCAAATTTTTACTTTGAAATTTTTTTTACAGTGATATTATAGTTACCAAAATTTTTAGGTCTTCTAGAAGAAGTCTAAAATTCATTCAGGGAGAGGGGGTTAAAATCAAATTTTAGTTTCTTTTGAAAAACATAAATATAAAAAACTTTCAGTTTTATAATTCCAGGGGTGATTGTGAGCCCAAGTCAAAATTCCGGAAAATTTCGTGAGTTAAAAAGAAAGAAAACAGAAGAAAAAAAAACAGTTTAAATTGAAAAAAATTTAAACAAGGCTTTTTCCTTTTTCTCAATATTTNGTAATCATAAACCCAAAATTGGGTCAGATGTTCAAAGAACAAATAAAGATATGAAAGGTATTATTACTAGGAAGCTTAGCTTTCCAGAAACTTACATAAAAACTTTAATCTAACTTGGAAACTTCAAGTAGGTCACTTAAAGTTGGTGCAGAAAATTGAAAATATGTTTATTTGTTAATTAAGCTTAAAGTTTTTATGAAGACTTAAAATTTTTTATGCAAGGTATCCATAAGTAAAGTTTTCATGCAACATTATAATTTTTTTTACACTGTCTTTTTACATTTAAAAATTTCACATTATTTTATCCAAAAGGAGAAAGTAAACCCTGTGCTGTGTAGACTAAAGCAAAAAACAATGTTAAAGCACAAAAATAGACAGACTACAGTTTTTATTCTCTAAAACAAGAACCTTCCTCAGCGTCTGAACACCAAATGACAGTAAAAAAGTAAAGAGACAAACATATGCAAAGCCGTTTAACCAATAGGAATAGAGGAACAAGTTTGAATAAAGTAATAAAAAGAGTGAAACAGGTGTGAGGAGATTTTACAGAAATCTCAGAGAGCAAAAGATTAAAATAGAATAGATTTCAAAACATGAGGAAAGGGTAGGATACAGAGAAGATGATTAACAAAATTATTAGAATTTTTCAAAATATGGAACGATTTTCAGAAATCAAGCTTGGTAGATGAAGAGCAGTATTAAATAATTTTAGTAGAAAAAAACTCAAACCTCTGATTAGGATTCCAACTATGTAAAGCAGTGGCAGATAATTTAATATCATGATTTTGGACACATTTTACACGTTTCTTAAAATCAAAATTTATGGGTATTTTTAGTTTCTCTAAAGTACACAAGTATCATATTGGCTAGAATTTTTATGACTATTCCAGCTATTTAAGATTTTTAATTTATTCAAAATCTTAGCAATTTGGTGATTGATTTTCAGATAAGGTAAAACAATCAAATAGCTAAAATTTGAATTCGAGAGTTAACTGGATCATTTTGCTAATTTTCCGTCATTTGGTGTTAAGACACCAAGGAAGGTCCCTCATGTTAGAGATCCTAAACCATAAGAGCACCTAATCTACCAAAGTTTGTCTATTTCTGTAGTTTTGCACTTAATTTATGCTTTTTGCTTTATCAAACAGTTTAATATTTGTGGTTCTAAAATTTAAATTTATGGCCTCAAAAAATGATACATAAGGTAAAAATCAAGAAACATAAAAGATTTTTAATTAAACTAAAATAATTTTTTTGATACGTGGATATAAAATTTAAAAAACAAAAGTTGTGAGGGGATTGTTTGAGAAAAAAAATTTCCTTACCTATGTTAGTTCCATAAATATTTGTTTCAATAGTTATATTAGGTTTCGGTGGCACTTCTGTCAAAATATAAATAATCAAATATTAATTTTTTTTGGATACACATAAATAATAAATAAAAATTATTTTTCATTAAACATTAAAAAAGAAGAAAGTAAAAAATATAGTATTATTAAAAATTTTGCAATAGAATATTACATTAAAATTATACTCTAGCAAAGTAAGAATAGAATTTCCTTCAGATTTTTTCATTATATCACATTTAATGTATTAACATACTACTGTAATGGTTCAAATAATGAATTTTAAATATGCCTATATTTTCTGAAATAAAACACAAAAATACACTTCCTCTGATAAGAGCTTTTGAGAGATAAGGATTTTTGATTCTCAAATTGTAAAGCGTAATAAAAATTTTAATGTAGCAAAATTAACATTACGGGACTCAATTTTCCATTTCACGTTCGCCTTATTTTCATGTAATCTTTGTATCGATTTTTAGATTCAAAAATTTCTAAATGCATCAAGAAGGTATGTTTATCAGGGATGAGATTAGCCAAAACGCAAAAAAGCTGAATTTCCACGATAGTAAATTTTACGCAAGAGCAACCCTTTAATAATAAATTTAATAATAACAGTTTAAGGTAATAAATAATGTGTTGACATACAATTGTGTACTGATCTATTATTATATAAACGATTACATTGATTCTTAACATTTAGTGAAGAAAAAAAATTACCAATTGAAAAAATAAAGCTGGAAATTATATTTTTCCTCAGTTCACATAAGAGACAATTACTACTTGAAAAACTACCTGGTTTAGAAAATTAAAACTNTGATAAGAGCTTTTGAGAGATAAGGATTTTTGATTCTCAAATTGAGCGTAATAAAAATTTTAATGTAGCAAAATTAACATTACGGGACTCAATTTTCCATTTCACGTTCGCCTGATTTTCATGTCATCTTTGTATCGATTTTTAGATTCAAAAATTTCTAAATGCATCAAGAAGGTATGTTTATTCAAAGTAGATTTGTGTTTTAGATTTTGTAATTAAAAATGTATCCAAATGCAATGCACATTTAATAAAAAGTTAACAGAAAAATATTTCAAGATTTTGTCTCAATGAAATTATACTTATTCAGGAGTTTTTGTCCCTAGGTTTTATTCATCTGAGATTTTGTTTTAGAACTTAATAGACTGATTAATTAAAAACTAAATAATTAGATGTCAAAATCTTACAAAAGAATTTTCATAATATATAACAGCACTTAAAGAAATATGAAAACCTTAAAAAAATAGATTTGTTTGCATAAATATGTATTAAAATGCATTGTTTAGACTTAAATTTTTCTTGCAAGGAAATTCTTACAAAAGTTGATTGTCAGGACTTTTCAAAATAAAATCTAGCAAGGCTGTCAAAATCAAGGAGTCTCCAGACTAAAAGTGGGAGGTTTTCCTCTCCATATAACGTAAATGCGGGTTAGTTCCATAAAATAAAATCCTCCATGATAGCAAATTTCTTCCAATACTTGATTCAGGAGTTCCCTTGTCTTCTGGATTGGGTTCAAAATTACAATGTTACAGAGTAGACCATTGGTAGTCATAAACCCAAAATTTGGTCAGATGTTCAAACATGCTAATAAAATAAAAAACAAAATCTTCAAAAACAAATACCCATTTTGTTCCTTTCTGAAAATAAATTTTAAAAAAAATTCACATGCAACGTTTTTTGATATTGTCTTTCCTCATTTTAACATTTTCCTTGCATTTCTCAGTCGTTTGATTTTATTCTTAAAAGTCATGACACAGACATTAGCATTTTGGACAATGATGCTACATATCTAATTACATATTAACAAATATGCACATACCTGGTGGTGTTTTGGAAGATTTCTTTTTCCAAGTATCTCTACTATATTCATCTTCATCAGAAGAATGACTGGATGCTAAATCTAGGGAAGCATGATCCAGTGACAGATCACTTTCTGAATCAGAATCTTTTGCTCGTCGTCTGTTAATTTCACCAGTATCAGGATCTTGAAAGTTAAAAAATAAAAATCAATCATGAGAAAAAATTCACACTGTTTTTGTAAATTAACATTATAGTAAATTAACCTCCTTTAGAGCAATATGCCAATATTATTCTCAGATTTACAATTGTTATAATTATACTGAATGGGTAGTAAACTAGAACTTCCTTCAAACCATTAAGAGTTAAAATTTTTTAATGTCAACTTCTCAAATATTTTTAATTAACTAATGTTATATGTTGAAATCATGAATTTTTAAATCATAATATGTATAATATTGAAGATAATCATAGGGATAGTAATTTGTAATCATACAATTAATACCTACATTTTAGAAAGAATTTACATTTATATAAGGTATGTAATCAACAAAAAATTTTCATGTTCAGCATATTGAAATGTATGCAGTCTAATTTGTGTCAAAGAAATGTTAAAATAAATGAAATCTAATAATTAACTAGAGATAATTAGTGTGACATAAACATGGTGCATAGTCAGATTTTTAAACAAAAAATAAGCACCTTTTAAGTACTCTTTAAGTACTCAAAAAATATTTTTAATCACTTTCCAAAAAAAAAGCATAATTAGGATCTGTGCAGTAAGAAAAAATATTTTTTCTATCGTTTAAAGTTCTTAATTTATTAACATAAAATCAATAAAGTTCAAAAACTTTACATAATCATGATAAAATAACTAGTTTCCAATAAATATTGCAGAAAATATTGTAAAAAATGCATTTTTTTGTAATTTAGAACAAAAATTGACACAACAAAGAAAAAATCTCTTTTTTATAGAAAATTAAGCACTTTTTACAAACCCCAAACAAAAAAAGCACATTTAAGGGCTTTTAAAAAACGTAAATTAAAAATAAGCACCTTTAAGCACTTTTTAAAAACACTATGCACCCTGATAAATAGCTAAGCTAAGGAACATCTCGTAATAAATAAAACCAAGATTTGAAACCTTTAGAATCATTACATCAATGTTACACTCTCAGTAACTCAAAACTAGAATCTATTTCAACCATAAAGACAGCTTTTGAGATATTAACATCTTAACTTAGAACAAATGAAATTGAAGAATTAGAACTTAGGAGTCATTATACTAATTACCATCTGCAACTCGATGCTTGTGTCTATGTCGACCATAGAGATAGCCTTTACGAGATGATCTCCTCCTGGGTTCAGATCCAGCGACAGAAGTCGAAGTGGAAGTGTTTTTAAGATGAGAGTCAGAGCGGTAAGGACTGCTTGAGGTCTTGGTGGTAGAGCGGCTAGTGGTGGAGGATGTTGATATACCCATGTTACGTTGCAAAACATCAAAGGAAGAATTCTGGTATGCAAGTGCTGACCGCTACAAAAAGAACATTTATATTTCATTTAATGAGGAAAAACAAATTAAATATTTATCGATGAATTTAATAAAAAATGCCAATGATTGAAAACTGATGAGAAAAAGTGAACTAGTTTAGATTTAAAAAAAGATACCAAGATTCAGAAAAGGCAATATTAATCAAAAAGCTTGATAAATTGGCTCGGATGTTTTAAATGTTGACATGACAGATATGCAAAATTTTATTGATTAAAATATTTGTAAGACGCCCGGTGGCTGAGCGGTAGCTCTTCGCGCTTGTGCCACAGGTCCCTGGTTCGATCCTCGGGCCGGGCAAGGTTGACTCAGTCTTTCATCCCTTCAGTGGGTCGATAAATGAGTACCAAGCATGCTCGGGGACTAAACACTGGGGGTTCCGCTCTCAGCTGACCACCTGACCGGAACATCTGCTCCTGCACCCTAGAGCCCAAGGTCAAGAAAACTGAGATGGGCACAGTAGGCCTTGGCCCTCTATGGGCTGTCGCACCGCTGAGTTTAGTTTAAAATATTTGTAAAGGTTTATCTTTATTTCACAACAATGAGTAATAAAAAATGTGATAAATATACACAAATATGTTGAATATAATTTTTTTTTTTAAATTCAGAGTTTTTTCTTTCAACAAGAAAAAATAATTACCAAACATGATGCAACTAAGTAAATAAAATTTGTTATAATAAAAAAAGCAAAAATTTTAGGATGGCTCGTTATCACAGAATTTATACATTTTAAGTTTTAGTCTAAACCTTGATTGGAAATATTATTTCTTTTGAACTTTGAAACATGATTTTGGTAGTTAATAATTTAAGTTTTTACATTTATTCTTGATACATATAGTAACAATAGTATTATAAAAATTACTACAAACCGAAACCACTGTAGTTCTTGTACCACTCAGGCTCTCATCGTAAGGCACCTTCTTTCCTCTCATGCGAGCCCATGTGTGGTGCAGCTGTTGCCTCACCTAGCAATTCAAAACAAATACATAAATAAAAAGTAAATTTTTAATACTGTGTAAACATTTAATTACTATCGTAAATAACACTGTATTTAATTTAGTTTATCAAATTGTAATTTCATTGTTGCAGACAAGAATTGAGACATCAATGAAATTCATAATTTGCTGACATTTCATTGTCAAAAGAAATTTTAAAAAAAAGAAAAGGGATTGCATATTTAATGAAAGAATGTGTACATAAAGGTTTTTATTCCTTTTTTTATTATCAAAAAACTTATTAGTCATTAACAAACAGCATTTTTACTGGTTAATTTATTTAAAAAAACTAATAATGTGTTTCAAATTCATGGTAAAATTGTAAAGGTTGTACAAATTTATTTTGCTATGAAAAGTTACATAGCAATATTCAAGTGCGAGAAAAAAGTTAAAGCACAGTACAGAACCCGTTATCCGGAAAACCAAAAAACCGGAACGAAATTCAATAAATTTTCCCGCCATTTTTAAAATAAAATATTTTTTTTCTCATAAGATTNTTTTGCTATGAAAAGTTACATAGCAATATTCAAGTGCGAGAAAAAAGTTAAAGCACAGTACAGAACCCGTTATCCGGAAAACCAAAAAACCAGAACGAAATTCAATAAATTTTCCCGCCATTTTTAAAAAAAAAATATTTTTTTCTCATAAGATTTTGGGATTTTTCCTTCTTTTTTGAAAGATGTTTACCTTACCATCATCTTGGAAATAATCATTAGTGTATTACTCCATCGTTTTTTCTTCTTTTTAAGACTATTTCCAAAAAAAAAAATTTTTTTTTTTTTAGTTGGGTTCAACAATAAAAAAAACAGCTTTTTGTAGCGATTCAGAAAACCGGAAAAATCAAGTTATCCGGAATAGCGATGGTCCCGATCTTTCCGGATAATCAGTTCCCTACTGTATATGTCAAATGAAGCGCACATACATTCTGCAAATGGCAGTTATAGAGTAGTAGTTCATAGTTCAGTTTATATGTTGCAGAGTTAGTCACAGAATAATTGAGCACATGAACTTTAACGTAAAATAAGAAGTATAACGAACACCATGCATTAAATAAAAAAAATCTTACCTTCTTGTTAATGATACAGTATCCTACAAATATGTATATTCCAGTGACACATGAAAATATAGAGAATATATAGTGAAGCACTTCCAGTGATTCGTTGACAGAGAGTATAGCAAGAACCCATGTAGCTCCAAGAAGAGGCAGAAGGACAATGCCCAACCACAACACTGTCCTAAAAACAATTTATAAAAACATCTTGTAATTATTTAGAGAAAACAAAGACAGACATAAAAGAAGGAATGGCAATAACATTGCTTACGAAAAATTACATACAGACTACTATGTACTTAAGGTATTGGCACTGAAAACAAATTTGTATTTCAATTTAATTTTAGGACTTTAATAAAATTGTTGATATAGCGAAATTAAAAAAAAAACCAGAAACTTTTTATCACTACACATTAAGAACTATGTAAATAAATTTATCAATTCTTAAGACTTATATAATAGATATATTATAAAATAAAAATTTTTTTTAAAAAATTAATTTTTTTAATTTTAAACTTGGTAAAAAAGTTTCAAATTTTTTAATTTTTCTAAACAAAAATAAAATGTTTTTAATGGAATCCTTTTTAACCTTTATGACATTGGTAAACACCAGATTAATCTAAACGTAAAACTTGAAAATGTACTAATGCAGTATTATGTATGTAAAGTAAAAACTTGTACTATATCCAAGCATTAATGCTCAATTTAAATAAAGCACTAAATTAACATAAAAAAAATCTATGCACACAACATTTATTTTATTCATGCATGTCAAAGTATTTTAATGTTGAAATAAATGATTCTTACATAACATTAACTTCACAAAAATTTCATGCAGTAATTAAATGTTAAAACAGTAGCTGATTAAAACAAATGTAAAGAAAAAACTAACACAAAAATATTTAGAGCATACAAAATACTACTATGAGTTCACGAAATAAACATGAATTATTTACCTCAAGTTTCCAAAATCCATGACAGTGTCTTTAATTTGTACACTAGCTCGAATAGCCATAGCAAAAACTCCAAGATTCAACTGTAATTGTAAATTGAAATAAAAATTAATAAAGAAATATAAAAGTTATTTAAAAAAAAAAAAAAATTAAAAAAAAAAGTTTTTTCAATTAAAGTTAATAATAATAATACAGTTAATAAATATAATAAAGTGATTCTAAGCAAAAGACATAATCTTATTATAAAATTTTTTTATAGATAAAGATTTTTTTAAATAGTTTCATATTAAATGCCTAATTTTGTTACAATATTCCACATGAAGTAAAATGGTACAAAAAAAAATAATGTGGTAGAAAATTTGTGTGATAAGTTTACCCTTTTAGCTATCACTTTAATTTGAAGTAGTCATCGCATCAAGAGAGAATCTAACTAAAATCTTACAATTTTAAGCTATAATTATTTTGGGTCATTATTATTATCAGTAACAGATTATAAATGGATTTTCTCTATAACAATTATTGCAAATATAAAACGTGTAAAAAATATATTAATGCCTTTTTGTGAAAGAAGAAACTGAAGAAATATTATAATAAATAGAAGTTTTGAAAAATATATTTGTTTCAATTTATAAATGACTTCTTAAAATAACAGTGACAGTTATCTTAAACTTTTAGGACCATTTTTATTATTTTGAGATTTAAAAAAAGCTATAAATAACTTACCAAAACTACAAAACAAATAGGACCAACAAGACTCCAAACAACACTTTCATAAATGGATAACCAGCAGCTGTAAATAAGTTGATTCAAATATTTAAAAAATACCCAATAATTTTGAAAATATGTGAATACATTCTTTAATACATTTCTTTAAAGCAATACTACTTTAAAGAAAAGTTAAACATAAACTACTTTAAAGAAAAGTTAAACATAAACTTACAAAAAGTAATTTCCATATTGATCTGCTCTTACGCCAACAGACAAGCCTACGACAATTGCAGGAGCACCTAAAATAATAATTAAGAAAATATTAATTAAAATATAGCAATAAAATTAGCAAACATTACGATTTTTAATATCACACACATATTAATGAAAGCAGAACAAAAGAAGGTAATTACAATTCATTCTTACTATATAAATACACAGAGGGTTTTGTAATCGCCATTCTTAATGTACAGTTTCAGAAATATTCTCAAAAATTATATAGTCACAAATTAATGTTTAAGCATAGAAAAATAAAAATATAATCTGTTTAATCGCTGTTTCAAGAAGGGCAGATTTCACACCTGCAAATCTGTTTTATTTCTGGAGAAAACTGAAAGCAGAAAAAACACTTTCATATTTTACAAAGCAATTAAAATAGTTCAGTTGTTATTAATCATTTTTCTTAAAATAATGATTTTTAGTAAAATTTTTGTTTTCTCCTTTATATACACTATATATAAATTATATATAAGAGATATATGGCATAAAGAGATGTTTTAAACCTTAAAATTCTACCCAGGTTACACCTATTAAAGAAAATGCAATTTTATCAGACAGCCAATCTTTATTATGGGGCATGAAACCCCAACCAAAACCATGGAAAGCAAATACTCCTTCCACTTTGCTGGCAGATTAATCATTTAGTGACAATAATAAAACACAAGAGTTTAATAAAAAGTAATAATTCACCATATCCTATAGAATAATAAAATCTCATTTGCCCATGATTGATGTCCCTCATTTCCGTCAGCATCCTATAGAGATGAACAGCCTCAAGGAACATCCACGAAAACACACAGAGAAACATATAATGAAGCATTATGGCCATCACTTTACACGGGAACTGTAAACCATTAAACAAACACATATTAGTAACCAACTTCGATTAATTACATATCAATAACACAAGAGATCAAGTTGTTAGTTTCGAAGACTGATTTATTGAATCCTGAAAATATTTTGTTAATTAAAGAACCATTTTATATGTTTTGAAGTAAATATCACCTAAGGAAATGCACTTCTGTAGACCAATGTATAAGTTGAAGAAAAAACTTTGTCTTTTTTCTCTTTTTTTTGGAATGTTCTTCAAATTTGATATTTTTAAGGGTGTTAAATGAAGGGTCTGCCATAGAATGAAATAATACTTTTTAGTGAATAATATGCTAATTTTAAAATTACTGTGAGTCAGCAACAGTTATTCATAAATTTTGTTTAAATTTCGACAGTGACACTATTTAGAAACTATTTTTAAACAGTGCCTTTTGGTAATTCTTAAAATCTCTTCAAAAGGACAATAGGAAGAAAGGCTTAAGTTTTAAAAAAATGAAAAGCAATTGTGTTTCAATATTTTTATATTTAAAAAAATTACTCCTATGCTGCATTACCTAGTCTCATAAAAAATTTCAAAAATAAAGAATTATTCATTTATTTCAATAATTTTCATTTAAGTAGAAAAACTTTTTCAAATTTGCAATTTTTAAAAAGTTTAATAAATAAACATACTTAAGTTATCTGTCTATTCTAAACCTCAGATAATTCTCCACAGCTAGATGTTGTATATAGTTTAAAATTATTGTTTTGTGTCAAACATAAAACATTTAAAATTTTTCATTGGTGAAGGAGCGTTATTATTTTATACAGCCTAAAACCTTGTTTTCGAATCAAAAATTTGAATACGGCCAGTAAAAAGTGTATAACAGATTTGTATAAAAAGTATGGTGAATAATTTATCTCCACAACCTCCGAGACCAAAAATTTCCCTAACGAAACAAGGTCAAAAGTTTCTCAAAGCATCAAACAGCATTCTGGACAAGGATTTTAAAAGTTATTTCAGAAATCTTTGTATTTAAGTACTGAAGTACATTACAGCAGGTGGAAGCTACTTCAAAAAACCTTGATCGTAATTGACAATGTTTTCAGGAGCTAGTAAATAAGTCCTTGAGATTAAAAACTGAAACTTATGCATCACTATTCAATGATAAAACTTACTTCTCTCTGCACTAAAGGACGTCTTAACTTGAGTGCAATAAGAAACAGAAGCTGTGCAAGAAAGATGCAGGCGACAAGATTTTTATGAATGTTGTTGCTGTTTGTCTGGGGTCCCCTTAAAAGGCAGAAGATAAGGAAAGCAGCTAAAAGCATTAAGAGTGATATCACAATGCCCAAATAGGAAACTACATCTTGAGCTGTTGACTCTTCCATAAAATACTGAAAATAATAAAATACATAATTAACAATAAATAATTAACATAACTAACAATAAATTCAAAAATATATAAAACTTCAGCCCCTGGATGTTGGAATCAACAAGTCATTCAAGTCCAAAGTCAGAAAATATTGGGAAGAATGGATGGTTGCAACGTTTAGTGGCAATAAAAAAGTACGACAAGCTTCGTATAAAGAAGTGTGTGAGTGGGTCATTAAGGCGTGGAATGATGTGTCCGTTGAAACAATAAACAACGGTTTCAAAAAAAGCGGCATCATACCCCTTTGTTTCAAATCTGAGGAACTTAAAAAAAATGATATCACATATTCTGATGACGATATCAGTGATACTGAGGACGATAGTGACGCAGACGATATTTTGGACGCTAATCTTTTAGAATTATTCAATTCTGACTCTGACATGTCCGATTTTGAAGGGTTTTAAAATTATTTCTATATTATTGCTTTAAAATTATTTCTATGTTAAATAAAAATTTTTTTTCCATTTACGTTGTGTATATTTGTTATTTACCTATTAAACTGATTCTTTTTGTTTTCATATATATAACGTAGTTAATTATAGTACCTAATTTTATTAATTTTGTTTTAATTTGCTCTTTTATTAATATATTTTGCAATTCGCATGCGGGTTATACAGGGTTCCCACTCTATGATGAGATTGAAATTCAAGGACTTTCCAGGACTTTTCAAGGACCTCAACAAAATTTTCAAGGACCTTAATCTAAGACCAATTTTAAAAATTATTCTCTTCTATTTTACTNATACATTTGATTTTTCCTACGCAACAAACTAATTTTGAATTTAAAATAAATTTAAAAAAATTTTACACTATGCACATGGAAACTCAAAAATTTATAAACATTTGATTTTACACACACTACATACTTATTTTAAACTTATTGTAAATTATGATTATCATAAACTATGCACAAAAAAAAAACTTTATTTACTCTTTTTTCCAGATTTTGAATTTACAGTAAAGATTCAAAAAAGTGAAATTTGGTTTTACCTCTTTATCTGTTATATCCATCAAAACACCAAATGTTGATAAGTGAGAACAGGAACAATTCACATAGGGTTGCATGCCCCGCCCACTTATCAAGTTCATACCCAATGTGGTACAACCTTCTGAAGACCATTTGCCTCTAGGTCTGAAAGAAAAAGAAAAATGTAACCCATTTAAAACATTACTTAAAAAAAGTGTGTAAAATGATTCTGCACAAAAGGCAAAATTATTTTCCCTTAACTGTTATAGTAGATTATTACACACAAGCAATCATTTTTACCAAGGGGAAAAAATGGATAATAGTAAAGTATAACTAGTAAAAGATTTTAATTATAATATTCAGTAATAAAGATTTAAGCCTAGCAACAATGTTTCTTTTTGCTTTGCAAAATTGCAATAGTTTTAATTCTGTATTATTCAACTTACATAACAAGCACAGATAAATTTTTAGTATTGGTAATTATCTAATAAATTTTTGATGTTGAAAATAATTCAAACAGAGCATTTTAAAGAAGTTGAACTTAACTTATTATGGCTTGCACAATATAGAACTCAAAAAGTAAATAATAAGGGTAAGATACCGAGCTACTATATTTAGCTAAGACGAGTAGATTTATAATTAAAAATAACAGCGTCCTTGCAATAGAAAAGTTATTAAATGGTCTTCAAAACTACATGAATGTAAATACATTCAACTGAAATTATACTTTGAAGATAATTTGTATGGTAGCTATTAAATAACTATTTTTTGAATAATGTATTTTATTTCAATAAAAATATGGCATAGGAGCCACTCTAAAAAAATTTAAAAATTTAACTTATATTTTTGACAAATTAATAAGGAACAGCATTGTTTATAGGAATTTTCAGAAATAATTAACACCAGAATTTACTCTTCCATGGATAATGGCCTACATACTAAATCAATCATTTTGTTTTATTAAAATTTGTTTCGTTAATTAATTTTTGGTAAGCAAAACAAAGTAGCAGCTAATCTTGTATAGCTAATTAATAAAGCCACTAAACATGTCATGAAACCATTCATATCTCTAGTTATTTTTCAGTAGTTTTTGCCCTAGCACTATAATTTTTCTTTAAAAATATCATGATTTAACTTCAGCTAGCTTGCTAACACCTTGGGAGAGGGAATGCTAACTCAAGTAGATTTAGATTCAGCAATTGTAGGAATCCTATTCATTCATTGCAGTGCGACATCATTACTTGATCATTTTGCAATAATAGTGAAAAATAACAATGTTTTAAATAAAATGTAAGTTTTAAAATTTTTATCAGAAAATATGTTACATTTTTTAGGGGGAAAAAGGAATTTAATTTTAATTTAAGTCAACAAATGGGAAAGAGCTATTGATGGAATTTATTCCACTGATTTTTTTCCAAGACTGATTTCAGTCCCAGGACTGAAGAGTGACACCCATGATATAGGGATTGTAATCCATAGACAAGTGGTTAGATATTAAATAGCACCGTGGCAGAATCGCAGCGACATGGCGACATTGTCGCAGAACGTTATAGAGTTATTACAGAAAAATTTTTCTTTTGAAAATTAAGAAAAATTTACTTTTCTTTTCTACAAAAATTTTCGCGTTTTATTTGAATCATGCATTTAGATAATCACTTTTTGACACTCTCAAGTTAAGCCGATAGTATCGTAAATCGATGTAATGTTTCGATTGTATTTTCGGCAGTTATTGACATTGATTTTCACATGGATTTTAAATATCCCGATACATTAAAAAAAATATGGAATATTCGAATTGTGTATTTGAGTACTTATTTTTTAAGGCTATGATTCTATCGAATTTTTCGCATTTATTGCTATTAATTTCTGCATAGCTTTTAAATTCGATATTTTTTATACATTATTTATTGCAACAACCTAATCTCGAAACGAAACACGTATTTGAGGAGTCCGATTCGCATGATTTCATCGTCGATCTTTATTTCGGCTGTTACTACTACGAATTTCAAGATTTTTAATTTTTTTATTATTGTGATATTTATTTACAAAATGCGAAAATATCACCTACAATATTAGAATAAAAAATTATTACATGTTTGTAGTATTATTATTAATCGATAATTGAATCGATTAATGAGATGATTATAAATATTTTATTATATGTTGGATGGCAACAATCACAGGAAAAAGATAGAACAGTAACGATAAATAAATACTTACTTACTTACTAACAGGGACCTTACTTACAGAGAAGGTTGAATCAAACTTATGGGTTGTAAAACCTGGAATTTCCAAATCCTTACATACAGAAAAAAATCATTCTCCCAAGGAACCCGACAAAATTGTGACTAGGTCTGGAAGACATGTACACTTTCCAGCAAAACTGGCAACTTATGTTAGTTATTAACATTATTAGCNTTTGCATGATTTCATCGTCGATCTTTATTTCGGCTGTTACTACTACGAATTTCATAATTTTTAATTTTTTTATTATTGTGATATTTATTTACAAAATGCGAAGAAGGTAATAATTTGTGCCTCCCCCCGCCAATAAAATGCGAAAATATCACCTCCAATATTAGAATAAAAAATTATTACATGTTCAATTAAAAAAATTATACTCCTTTTGTTACTTTTAAATTAGTAACATATATGTTTGCTATTATTAAAAGTATCTTGCAGAAAGATATTAGTGTTAGAGAGTTATGTCGCAGGTAGCTCGACAAAATTCTGCCACAGGGTTAAATAGTGTATGCTACTTCACTGTAACATATCTTGCATAATATAACCCTTTGTATAAAAATTTAAACTTAAACTCTATAAATGAGATAAAACTTTTTGAAAAACAAAAAAACTCACCCTATTGTGTAATCCCAAAAGACACATTGTGGACTTGAATGATCTGAAGTGTCATGAATTCTGAATTGGAAATTTATATCTGATGATAACTCTTGTTTTATAATTTCTGTAGAATTTGCAGGTTGGATAACTATAGACATCATTGGTGTGTTAGCAGATAGAGTTATACCAAATCTTTGTCTAAATGAAGTTAAAGATATTAATGAGTTAAAAATTTAACATGTTTAAAAAATAGTAAAAATGTATATTAAAAAATAATTTTATTTGAAAATTTTTTTGAAAAGAAATTTTATTTTGGAAAAAATTTGCATTATTTTCTGTATTGCATTAAAATATTTTATGATATATGATAGTTTTACATGATAAAAAAATTCATTTTACAGTAAAAATGTAAAATTTTATTGAATTTATTTGTTATATAAAACTATTTTTACATAAAAAAATGTAAATCTATCATAATACATTGCAAATATTAAACACAAACATTTAATATTAGTACATATAAAATTGAAAATATAAGTGGAAAATGGTTCTAACTCATATTTTCAACGCAATTGAGATTTCTTCCCTGCGAAGAAAGATTTTTATCTTATTGAACTAATAAACTTTGATTTATTTGTCAAATCATAAAATTTTTGGGATTCTGTGATTTGAGAATTTTGAGATTTCAGAGGCTCAATGTATTAAGTGACAGACTTCGTGTTTTTGGAGTAAAAGAGAATTGAAGTGCATATGGGGGAAAAAACAACAGACAAAGGCTGACCATTTTAACTTAAATGAGAGTTGGGGAATTATAAATTTTTCAAATTAGTATAGGCAAGATTTTTACTATTTAGCAAATATCATTTAATATTAAACGCATGTAATACAATTAATATTAAAAACATACATTACAATTAATTTAAAAAAAATGATATTATAACACAATATATAATACCAGTGATAATAAAAAAGGATAGAAACTAAAATCAAAATACCTTATGGATAAATCATAACCAGGAGGAAGCATTTGTCCTGCAGTTGGATAGATGGCGTAAGCAATCACAGCAGAGTCACGGGAGAGTAGCATGACTCTTTGCTTATTGGGTTTTTTCTCTAAGGAAAAAAAATCAAGAATTAATTTCTTTTTTAAGATGATGTGCTTTGAAATTTACCATATCTTGCTTCAAATATAGATATAAGAAATCCAATTTTGTTATAGTATAAGAATTTAAAACAAATAAATGCATGATAATTGTCAAAGATAACAATATTAGTTGAACATTAAGTAATTAATTGAAGGAGAGATAATATAACGCTAAGACACATTTTTGAACTATACAGAAGGTTTTCGGAAAATTTCCATGAAGGTAATAAATTGGTTCTATGTATCTTCTAAAGCAAGATTTTGTAAAGTAGCTATTTGGAAACAATACCAAGGAAGAATCTGTAACTGAACTCTTTTACAGCATACAGTTTATTACTAGACTAGTATGTTAAGGATTGTATTCATAATGAATTGCGGTAGCGTTGCTCGCCTCCGTGACTTTGGTTCACAGGTGCCCACTGGGTAACGATAAATGAGCAACACTTCCGGCATCTTCTATGGCGGAGAACGAAAGTTCAGTGCCTGCCGTTATTAAAAAAAAAAAAAAAAAAAAGAATTTTCTGATTTATTAATTAAAACAAAAACAAACAATTAATTGGCATATAGTTTAATCGATATTATATTTAATAATATTTTGGCCTTGTATGGCCCCATAACAGTTTTGTTAGCATTATTTTAAGACCATTTTCTTTCTCATTGTCAAACATTTATTTACTAACAGAGATGCGCAGAACCTCACCAGACACGAGAAGGGTTACACCTGTTGTGCAATTCATGACAGAGTCTAAAACAAAAAGGTCATGCTTGGAATGGAAAAGGTTCGGCTTATCAGTATATCACCTAAAGCTTTTAGATTATATTTTTAGAAAATTTTTTTAATGCATGTTATATCTAATTAGTATGAATTTTATTCCTCCATAGTAATTCTGTTTTCAGGTTTGAACTAACATCAGATTTTAATTAACTTTTTATTAACTATTAAGAAGCTATTTTTTCCAAAAGATAATTGACAAAAAAAAAATAAAAAAATTCAACAATTTTCTCTATTTGAAATTTGTATTATTACTCGACATTTTTTTAAAAGAATTACTGCATACATTCAAAGCAAAAAATTTTTTTTATTTAATACATAATGACAAAAAAAAAAACATTCAAATTGAAGAAAAAGATAAACTTTTAAAAACTTATAAAAAAATAACAAAACTTACATAGAAGCAAATAAATTGCTATATTAATATAAAAAAAAGCACAAAAATTAAGGTTATAGTAATTAAATTAATAAATTTACAACAGAAAATTGATTCTGTTAAAAAAAAAAGTGCAAAATTAGATAGCCATTTGTATTTAAAGGATAGGATATAATTGTTCATTAACAAGCAAAGAACACTATAAGGAAGAGTTTAGACTAAAATTAAAAATTGCATTTTATTTCAAAAGGAAAAAAAAGAATAAATAACACAAGGAAAAACTAAATACCTTCAATCGACTTTACATTCAAAATTTTTAGTGGAATTTTTGCTTTTGTGACATCATCCAAAAAGCTTTTACGTCTAGGAAAATTATTGTATTTTGGTATCAAAACAGCAGGGCCAATTTCAAAATCACTTATATCCATATACTGTGAAGTTTCAGGAGAAAGTGACAGATTATTTGAAGTAAAACCATCTGAAGGCAATGACCACAGTTCTGAGGCAGATATTGTATCTAATCCAAACACTGGAAAGAGAGAGAAAAAAATTAAAAACTAAGTTTCTTATTTTTTAAATGTTAACCCTTTGCTTACGGCATACTATGTTATACTAACACATGTGGTCCACATGTTGTACCAGTCGTATGCAAAAAGTTAATTAGGACAATTAGGAAATGCAAGAAAATTAAAATGTAATTTTTTAAACAAAAACTTCCCTTTTTTTATTAATTAAGAATTTTAGGTGTAAGAGGAATGCAGAATTTAATGAAGGATGCAAATAAAGAATTTGATTCAGGAAAATCAATATAGATTACATTAAAGTTTAAAGTTGTGTATTATAGTTCGTTAAAAACAATTCAATTTCTTATATACAGTTTAACTTTGTCTTTTAAGCTTGAAAAAAAAATTCATCATATACAAAATTCATTTAGACTAAAGGTTTTCTTTGTAAAATATAGATTAAATAAATATAACAATATTAACTATTATAAATTAAGTAATAAAAATAATAACTATAATTTATATTAGGGAATAAAACTAAACAATGTATTATCAGTTATGTAAAAGCACAAAATTAGATACATATTAGGTAATAAATTATACGTCTTTAATGATAGAATTTAATAGTGTATTATGTCATTCATAAACAGCATAAGAACACAAAAAATTGTTGTTTTTGAACTTGCTTACTAGCTAAATTATTGATAGAACAAAAACAATATAAATTTTTATATATTTAAATCACTTATACATTTTTACCTGCATTTTCCAAATTTATTATTGTTTGAACTATTTATTGACAAAAGGGCAATTTTTACAAGAAACAATAGTTAAAAATTATACATTATCAAAAGTATATTAATTTAAAGTTTTATAACTCATTAAAGGTTATATTAAAAATAAAAATATATTAATAAAAGTTTAAAATTACCTTAAAGATTAACAAAATTTTTAAAAAATAAATTATTTAAACAAGCAATAAATGTTAACAATAAGTTTATTTAAGAAAAAAATTATCTGTCATTACAAGATTTAAAGCAAATATAGTTTTCATAAGCAGTATAAAAAATTACATAAAATATTGGATAACAATAAATATTTAACAGTATGATAAAGTGGGAATTGTGAGCCCAACTAAAAAATCCTGAAAATTTCTTGAGTAAAAGCATTAAGGACGCATCTAAAAAAAAATTAATGTCTTTATAAATTTGAATGATTGATATTTTCACAACATAAAACTCTATGCAGCATAATTTAAATTAATAATTATGTATAAGTTTACTTTTATCCCTTATCATATTTATTATTCTACCAGAAAAAATATTCACAAATGAAAGAGATGTCAAGCATAAATTCTAGTTTTAATATTTTTAAATAAAATATACAAAAATGTTTATACATTAATGTAATCGATGATTTCTTTTAACTTCTGGACCTTGAATTTCTGGATCGCGGTTGAGGAAAAATCAGGAAATCCAGATTTTTTCCGGAGCACAATTATCTCTGATGATAAGAATTGCACAGATTTCTGTTTTGTTTAAATTAAAACAGATAAAATAATTAATTTGAATTAAAATAGCAATAGATACCCATATTCTTAGCAGCTACTTCGAATGGTTCAGTAAATGTGTCTTCCTGGTTTTGAATCAAAGTTTTTGCATAATCTTCAAACATGCGAATCAGGTTTTCAGGTCCTGCATCAGTAAATGTAGCAATTCTTTCCCACATGGATGTATATCTCGGTTCAAGAATTTTACTGGCAGATTCAACTAGACCCTTTAAAATAGAGTTGAATTTAAAATAAGGTAATTAACTCATAATTCCAATTATTCATTTGCTAATCAAAAGTCCAATTATTTTAATTGAAACTAAGCAAGTTGCATAATAATGACAATAAAAAAGTGAACATATGTGTTGGTTAGTTCCTTAAATTAATATACAATAATCTTGAAAAAAATTACTTTTAACTGTTCTCTATATGAGTTCAGAGTAGTTATGTGACTAACTTTTAGCATGAATGTATAAAAATTTTTTCACATCTTGTAATTTGTTAAACAGTTTACGATAATTTCAATGACACATAAAAACATTAAAAGAATTTTTTTTGTACAAATCAGTAGAATTAATTTTTAAAGAAACAATAACATACAGGTTGTAGAAAAGTATTTTCATAGTTTTTATTGAATGTGCTTGGTTTTGATTTTTACAGTCATTTTTGGTTTTTATTGTCATCCTCAACTATTTTCATAGCATCATAAAAAAATTATTACACATTGAAATTTTGAAAAAAGTTTTTAATAACAGAATTCAGACAAAATTACTGTTGTGATCTATAACCTAGTATATAGATTTGCGTTGTATAGATAATGTTGAGCTGCATCTAGTTTTGTAAAAGACAGTGATAAACACAATCCTCCTAAGGTTAGATTATTACAACATTTGTCAATAAGTTGTAAGAGATTTATGTTAAATTAACACAAGCCTGATAGTCTAAGTTGAAAAATTGACACTTAGAATCCCAAAAGCAATTCTATATGTTAATTTTGTTTCGATTATTATAAAAATATTTTTTGATGTGGAGATATAAAATATTTTTTGCAATCTTCTTTATTTAAATTTATAAGTAAAGAAAATAGTAGAAAAAAAAAGATAATGAAATAGAAACTTTGCACATTTTATATAACAAAATTAATAAAGATGTAACTTAATATTTTGCTTCAAAATTGAAAATGGGTTATACTGAAAACGAGAGATAAACTGTTAGAAAATAAATTTAATTTAATGACTAAGACTGCTTAATGACTAACTTTTATTAATTTTACAAATTATTAATCAATGAGATTTACTTGTATGAAATCTTTATCTTGACGATGCGTCAAATTGAGACCTCCCTGTTCAGTTTCATAATTAAGAACATGATTCAGCATTCTGTCTACAATAAGTATATCACTACCATACAGACTCTTAGTTGAGTTTGTAGCCTTTCTTAGATCAGATGATATTTTTACAGCAAAATAAGTACTTAAAGGTAGCTTGTCTCTCTCAATCACAGCCAACTGGAATAAAGCAAAAAGCATTTTAAAATTTTATTTTTTTACAAAAGAAGTGCTGCATTCTTTAAAAGATATGTCATGATATGAAATACAAATTTTTCTTAGTAAATAATATGCACTTTTTATATTATTTTTGAGTTCGAACTGTTACTACGGTTTAAGATTTGCCAATCTCAAGACAGTGATGTCTATTTTCATTATAAAAAAGGTACAAAATGTCAATATGAAGTAAGCCTTTGGCAAACCTGTAATATATCTATAAATATGAAAGCCATAAAAGCGTGAAATAAAACAGTACAGATTAAAAAATATTATTTATTTTTATCTGAAAAAAAAAAGGAATTTTAATTATTATATGCATAAAACCGAACAGAAGAAATCTCACTGATTCCCACATTTTTTCTGACATGAGACAATTGAGTAAGAAATAATTTTGTTTTTTAATTATAAACAGAAGTAGTTTTCTATATTTAACAAAAAGTAACATTTTAAAAACAATTTAAAAAAAACAATAGAAATATAGTTTGGATTATGAATCGTTTTAAAACCAACAACAATATGAACAGGGTTAAGAACAATAAGAATATGAAAAGAGTTAAAACAATACAAATGCGAATATGGTTAGAAATAAAGAAAGTAATTACTTGATCAGCTAATTCTAAAAATGTTTCTGAAGTGCACTTGAATAAGTCTGGGTCTTCCCATCCTGTGTCTGGGGCACAATACCTAGTGGCTTTACCTACAGCACAAAATAATATTAATATTTTTTATATGATTTGATAAAACCTTATAAATACAAAAAATTTTAAAACTTGAAAACAAGCATACTACCATGCAATTAAAAAAAACAAACAATGTAAGTGCTTAACAATAAATTTTGAGAAAATCATTAAAATAATTTTTCATATGAATAAATAATACCTGATAAATACAAAAAATTTTAAAACTTCTAAACAAGAATACTACCATACAATAAAAAAAAATGTAATTTCTTCATGATAAATTTTGAGAAAATTATAAATGCAATTCTTTATATGAATAAATAATGCCTGATAAATACAGAAAACAAGTAACATACTATCATTCTAAACTAGTATACATACTATCATTCAATTAAAGGAAAAAAAAACAATGCAAGTGCTTTATAAATTTTGCTTGAAAATTACTTTTATTTATTTATTTATTATTAATTATTTATTACAGTAAATGCTAAAATAGAATTTCAAATAATTGATAAAAAAAATAATTATAGAAAAAAAAATGGACAATGTGTAGCTAACCATAGAAAAATGCCAAATACATAAAAATCTTGATTTTGAAATTTTTGTCGCTTACATGGATTTTTCTATTGCATGGCAACATACCCTTTTACAAACCATAGATCATCAATATTAGTCACACATCATGATATGCAATAGTAAAACATTTTAGGCTTAAAAAATATTAGTTGTACAATAGTCACTCATTTTATAAAGTATATAAAATATTTAGTCTTTGAAATTACTAACAGCGATTAATCATGATGCATGAACTTACCCACTGCCCCTTTAGGACATGGATGTGAGGCTTCCTGGTCAAAGAGTGTTCTATCCCACCATATACCCATACTGAAAGACTGAGGACATCCATCATACACAACTAAAAAAAAAAAAAGATGACAAATTATATTAAAGACAAAGATAAAGAAAACAGCTATGATACTTTAAAAATGTTTTTCCTCAAAAACAATAAAAAAAACATAATTATTTCGCAGCAAAATTTATGACAGATAAATCTGGTTTAAATGATTGAGACCATATCATTAATCATAGATATTTATTTTAATTTTTCATCTCTTGTCAAGTGGAGAAGCAATGGAGGCTATGTAATTTAAAGGCCAAACAATTGACATTTGAAAATAATAATTATCCATATTTAATAATTAAGAAAACTGTAAAAAGTAATATATTATAATGTATGCATTATTCAATGAATGTATTATAAAGAAAATAATTAAATATAATTTTAAGGAGATTAGTCATTTTACAACAATAGTTTTCAATCTTATTGTAAAATTTAAAAATTAATTTTAATAACATATTATTAGAAAAGGAAATATTAAATTTCAACACAGTGGGTTTTAGAATGAATATATAATATAGAATATAATTGATACATTTTTTTAATTATCTTAAATACAGTGATTATCAACTTCTTCATTCATTAGCACCACAGTATTCGTTACTAAATCAATGAGACTATATATGCAGTTAAATGAATGAAAACCAACCTTATTGTTGGCGCGCATGCGCGTCAGCGCCCCAACCGGCAGAAGATTTTGTAACTTCCACAATGACANGTGGATATAGTGAACCAAAAAAGTGAGAAAGTTGGATATAATGAACTTTTTTCTGTCCTCAACTGATTTCTTTCCTCATTTTTTTTGTGAATAATTTTGAAACTTTTACTTTAAAATAAATACAAATACCGATTTTTAAAACCATATATAGAGGGGAAACCAAACAGATATTTCCAACCCTGGCAGATAATGCACCTGTAAGGTGTCAGTGGGATCAATATGCATTTTTTGTCAGGATTGCTCATCAACTAAAGATTACTAAATTTTCTTTTTTGGAAGCAAGACGAAGAGTAATGAAAATTAACACATTTTTCGCTACTAAATAATATTTTTCAGTCATTTATTTAAATAATGTGTAATAAAAGGGAAGAGTTTGGGAACCATTAGTTAAATTACCTGCGTAACGGATATAGTGAACTCCCGGTTATAGTGAATCAAAATTTCGGTCTCTTGCAGGCTCACTATAGCGGGGTTTGACTGTATTAAGTTTCAATACAGTGGGTTTTAGAATGAATATATAATATAGAATATAATTGATAATTTTTTTTAATTATCTTTAATATAGTGATTATCAACTTCTTCATTCTTTACCACCACAGTATTCATTACTAAATCAAGGAGACTATATATATGTAGTTAAATGAATGAAAACCAACCTTATCAATACTTAAAAATAAGCTTTGTAAATAATTAAATGTAATATTGTTCATTAAATATCTCAAGAAAAATTATAAAAAAGTGAAATGAAGAAATCAAGTATGAAAAAGAAATTAACTCACCTTCACAACCTCTAAGAGTTACTTCTGCAAATGGATTGGAACATGAATCACATCGGCGACCAATCACGCCTGCTCTACACTTACACTGACCTGTGATTGGGTCACAACGGTTTCCAAAAGAGCCAGTTGCATAACAATCACAATCAAAACAGATGTCACTATGCAGGGGTTGAAAATGTTTGTCCTACAATATAAAGTTCACAAACTTAAAAGAAACTTGCAAATTATAGAAAACATATAAAAACCCAAAGTATGTATTAAACTTAATATCATTGTAACACTACACTTTTCTTAATAGCAGGCTTGCAATTTTAAATACTGTAAGCTAAGTAATTATCAGTGCATAAAAATATTTTAACCTACTCTCTTCAAACAAAAAATTTCGCCTTTATTGCAAAAATTGTTTATGTTGCAGTAATGGACATTAAGTCTGAAACTCATCCAGGGTTACTACTCAAATGTGGAAAAAAAATTCCCTGTGTTTTCCCTGTATGCATAAAACACAATATATTAAGAGGAAAAACACAATCAGTATGTTCTTATGTGAGCTGTATTGTGCTAACTATACTAGTTATAATTGCAGAAAAAACTTAGAAAAAAAAGGAACAGCTGAACATACTTAAATAGAGCTATAATAAATGAACTAGTTCAGGGTAAGTAGCCAGAATTTACAAAAAGTAAGCACCTTTTAAGTACTTTTTAAGCCTTCAAGAAATATTTTTAATCACTTTCCAAAAAAAAAAAAATCAAAATTAAGATCCGTGCAGTCATAAAAATTATTATTTTTCAATCATTTAAAGTTTTTAATTTATAAACATGTAACCAATAAAATTAAAATAAGTTTGCATAATCATTATAAAGTGACTAGTTACTGATAAACATTGCGTAGAAAATTGTAAAAATCATACATTTTTTGTAATTTAGAACGACAATCGACACAGCAAAGAAAAAATCTTATTCTGAAAGATAGGAAATTAAGCACTTTTTACAAACCCCAAATAAAAAAAGCACCTCCAAGGGCATTTAAAAAACGTAAATCAAAAATAAGCATCTTTAAGCACTTTTTAAAAATGCTATGTACCCTGTAGTTTAATATAACTGAAATATCATCCTCAAATATCCCATAGATTACACTTTAAACAGTTACCATTCTTTAAAAGGCAAAAATACAAAACAACATTCCCAGTTTCTAAAGAAAAACTCAAAATTCCTTGTATTTTCCAGGTTTTCCCTGTGGAGTGGCAATCTTGTCATCTCTACTAATGATTCAAAAGAACTTAAATTACCTCACATGTGCATGCACCATTTGTCTTGTTACAGTTTGCATCATATCCTTTATTGGTGTCGCAATGACATGGTCCACAGATTGGATACCCCCACCAGTTAGAAGGACAGGGGTGGTCCAGAGGCACTTCACAATACTCTCCAGTGTGCAAACCATCACATTCACAAGTGTATCCATATTTATGATTATCATGCAGCGAAAACTTTGAAGAAGATCTACAGGTAGATCCAGGAGCACAAGGATTTACTTCACAGACAGGAAGGCAGTTTTTACCCACAAATCCTAAAAAAAAGTAAGATTATTAATAAAAGCTGTATTTGGTATAAGAAGATTAGAGTAAAATAATAATTATGAATTTAATTAAAATAATTTTTTTTTATTAATTTTCTATTTGCAATCTTAAGTTTGATTAAAGAACTCTTCTTAAGCTTGACTAAACAGTCATGCGGAAAAGAATGTTAAATGTTCACGAAATATTACATTTTCAATGTTGAGTCTTAATAAGGTGAGTGGTCAGATTTTTCAACAAAAAAAATTACCTTTTAAGCACTCAAAATTTTTTTAATCACTTTCTAAAAAAAAAAAAAATCATACTTAGGATTGTGCAGTAATAAAAATTATTTTTTCTATCATTTAAAGTTCCTAATATGAACATAAAATTAACAAAATTCAAAAACATTTTCGCAAATTTCACATAATCATGGTAAAATAACTAGTCTCTGATAAATTCACAGTGAAAATCATGTATTTTTTGAAATTTACAACGACAATCCACACAGCAAAAAAAAAAAAAAATCTCTTTTTACAAGATAGAAAATTAAGCACTTTTTACAAACCCAGAAAAAAAAGCACCTTTAAAGGCTTTTAAAAAATGTAAATCAAAAATAAGCACTTTTTAAAAATGCTACGTGCCTGTCGAATGGAGATTATAAACAAAGTTTGTCCATTCACATAATCTAATGCAAATGTAAATATAATTGTTTTGTAAATACTAAATGATTTGGGGAGGGGGGCGGTAAACAGAGATAATTCATGCATTAATTTGTTGGCAGAATATATTTAATTTCTAAAAAATATTGCAGAGAAAACTAACCCATATCACACTGGCATTCATATTTGTCCCAAAGGTCAATGCATGTGCTGTTCAATGGACATGGATTGGCATGGCATGGATTTTGTGTTCTGCAACCCTCCCTTACATTGCTCTCAAGAGAGGGTCTCAACCAGGCATCTTTGTTCATGTCTATTCTTACATCCTACAAAAATCAGAATACAATCAGAACAAATAAAAAAGAAGAAAAAAAAACAGAAACAACTATTATTTAATTTTAAGAAACATGTATTGGTTTGAGTTTGTTATCTAAAATACACAAAAAATAGTTTTATCTGATGTAGGTGGATATTATAATAGACTTTAAAATAGAAGGCAGAATTAGGTAGAAGGAAACGAAAGATATGCAATTTGAATGATATGGAGATAAATATTAATTAGTTTGGAATTTTTGCTGAGAACAAAGCCAAATAATTGGGGAAGAAAGTTTTCATGAATCAGTATTGTACAAGGCAGGAAGTAAAAAGACATTTCAAAACTAATTTGATTCAAAAAAAATAATAACTGAAATAAGATTATTAGAAACGCCAACCATGTTTCAAGTTATCAAACTGGTTTTGTTGTTTTTTAAAACCATTTTTTTAAATACCATTTTATCTGGATCTAATAATTTTTTTAAAACAAATAATAATTTACAACCCATAATTAGCACTCTGGCAAGTGCTTTAAAAATATATGAAGATCACTGATTATACAATACTTTTATCTGAAAAACATTAAAATATTAATGAACTCCAAATTTTAAAGATGCATTATTTTACATTATGCTGTACTGAAGTGGTTTTTTATTTTTGTATTCCTTCTTTTTTTTTTGTATTCTTTTAATTTCTTTTGTTTCCTCTTCTTTGCATATTTGTTGGCTTTTAAACATATGGGAACTCATTGTTGTCTTAGTTTTTTTCTAATTATTTAAATATTCTAATTTGCTTGATTCCTAAATGAACACCAGCAATTATCTTCAAAAAATAATATAAAAGTGATATAAGATCAGAAAATACGTTTATAAAATTTAAAGTCTAATTTCTACATTTATCTGCTGCTTTCAGTGCAATTTAAATTCTTGCAGTTTAAATTGCTTTACATCCTACTTAAATTTAGTATTATTTTTAAAGTAAAATTAATAGTAACATTTGCATATGAGGAGAAACATTAAAAAAATATACAAAAAATTATAAAAGTTTGTTTACTTGGATGCATCCATTGAAGAACACCAAATTTTCTGGACCTTCTGAAGGTTGTACACCACCGACTGATACTTTCCCAACATACAAACCTCTGATGTGACCTTCTAGATGCTGAACCGACTGCAACAGAATAGAAAAGGTATCAAAATCATTGGCTATAACAACTGTATAAGTTATCAAAATCAGTCTACAATGATTACAAAAGTTATCGAAATCAGGATCATCATTCATAAAAGTTATCATCATTCATATGATCAAATAATTGCTACAGCAATCTATAATGATCATAAAAAAGTTGAAAAATAATAAAATCAAAGCAACAGCATTGTTAAAGTGTTAAATTTGACAACTAATCACATGAGTAAATTTGTAGCTGTTCCAAAAAAAAAAATAATAATAATAAATAAATAAAATAAGAAAACTGTCTCACATTAGATCTTTCATGAATTTTTCTTAGACTTCTCTTTCTTGTTTCAATAATTTTTAATTATTTATTATTATATATGCAACAGTACAATTCTAAATCAACAGTAAGTGCATCAATAATGCAAAGATATTATGAGTAAAATATAAAATAGTGAAAGCTCTGTCCATGTTCCAATCTTAAAAAGTATAAACCACAACAAAATTTAGAGGCGCTAATTTCAATATCATTAATAATACAAATTTAAGCAATCTTATTTTCCCATTATATTATTATTAAAATAAATGCTACCTAATATTAAAATTATACCTTCTTTGTTTTTAACAAATAATTTGATTCAGAAATAAAATTTTCTATATTCATAAGATTATATAAATAAAAGAGAGAAAGAGAGGATATTTTAACTACTGATATTTTAAGATGAGTTAATAATGCAAATTTGGATAGACTAAACAAAATATTTTCAACTAATTAACTATTCAGAATATCACACATTTTTTATCTTTAAAGAGAGGTTAATAATTTTTTTCTTAAGCAACAGTTAGAAACATTTGATTCTATGTTACAATTTATACACAATCTATGAATTCCAAATAAATAAAAAATTTTAAGCAAATATGCTTTCCTACAAACTAAGCAGTCTTAAAATAGAAAATACATTTCTGCATTAAGTGAACAACCTTCACCCTAAAAATTTTACAATCTCAATTTAAAACCAAAGGCTTAAATTTTATTTTACTTCATATTGGCCATAATCCAAATTGAGCCAAACTCCAGCAGGCATCCATTTTGCTTCAACATTGTGCCATATGCCATCATTCACAGCCACATCCTTCAACATGAAGGACTGATCGTTGAATGTATACTTCAAAAATCCATCTGATAACTACAAAATAATTCATATGAGTTAAAACAGTTCAGTTTCAAATAATAAGTTAAAAAAATTTTTGCAAAAAAATAATTTTAACTTAGCATGCATACAAGCTTTAATTAAAACTAGAAAAGGCAAGAAACAATTTCTCAATAATATTATTTATAAAAACCTCTTCAAAACACAATGCTGAAAACCAGATAGAAATATTGTAATAGAGCAATAGATTCTTTAACAATACAAAAGATTAAAAAAGCAAAAAAATTAGTTGTTTTAACTGGGAGTTAAAAAAAATTACTTAGATTATTCATATACATTAATTTTTGATGCATTAATTGAAACATTAATTTCTTAAAAATTGATGATTTTTAAAAAAATTAAAATGAACACATCACCCAACGAATTGTATCCATTATGCATTAGTGTAAGTTATTTAAATATTCAAGTAAGCAATAATTTGCACAAAAATTCTATTTCAATAGGGATTTAAGGAAACTTACTTAATTTTAGGGAATTTTCTAAAATGTACAAAAACTGTATAAATGTATGTGTGTGTAATATGTAAAAATATGTAAATGTACAGAATTTTTATTAAACCAGTAGACCAGGAGAAACTGACAAAATCCAGTAGTCTACTGGAAAATCCAGCATAGTTGGCAACTATGCATTGTGCTTATTACATAGTTCTCAGGTAATTGCATGGATCAAGTTTTTAACAAGTAAAAAAATGCTAAAATTTCAATAATCTACCTCAAGCTGTACAAAACTGGTCTGACCAAGTTGCGCCTTAATTAATAGACCATCTTTCTGCCGAGTTCTGAACGATGCACTGATTGGCCATTCTGTCTGAATGGGTCGAAGATGAGGGGTAAAAATAAGGAATCCATCACCCGTAAAATGTCTCACAGGTTCAATGTCTGAAATGAGAAAAACAATATAATTAAAAGTAGTAAGATACTAAGTTAAAATCAGGGAATAAGTGATTAAAGTAAATTAGATAGATTATTGACTTATGGATCCTCACCTCTATCCAGTTGCTTCCAGAAATCTGAGAAAGATGAAAAGAAAAAAAAAAGGATGCATGTTAACCATTGAAATAATTAAGTAGTATCCCAAAAAATTCAATAGTGTTTGATAAAATCCATTAAAAAATGTGCCCTTTTAATTTAATTTCATCTATTGCTATTTTGCTATTGACCTTTATAGTAATTAAATAAAGTTATTAACAATTTGATTTTCTTTCCAACATTATATATTTATTTAAACCTCCTAACTTATAAATACTTTAAAATTCAATTTTAAAAGAGCCCTAAACATATAAAGGCTGGCAAAATAGTATCTATCTTCTTCAAGTCTTGTCTAGGTATAGTAAAGTGACTTTGTGTAGTGTAACAGATTAAAAGCCTTAATACTTAGGTTGTGTTCTTATTCCTACAACCTCAACTTGATTTAAAATTAATTTTAATAAGATAGTAAATCATATTACTTAACAACATTTGTATAAACTTGCATTCAACACGAGAAAAAAAAATTCTAAAGAGATGGGTTATTTTGGAGTCAAGGAGAAAAAAAGATGTAACTAATAAGTAAAGTTAAAGATAAAAAATATGGATTTTATCAGATAATTAGGACAAGTGTATATGTAGGATACTGTGTACTTTGACGGTTTAGAATTTTTATAAAAACTAATTTCTTATATTCTTTGAAACCTTGATTTATTAAAAATCAATTTTTAATTTTCAAAAAAAGGGGTTTTAAATTTTAAATAGTTATATGAATGGAGTAAAAAACTTATGATATTAGTATCTTTAAAAAAAAACAACAAAAAAAAAAAACAGAAGACAAACATAGGTTAGCTGATAGATTGCTAAAGGTTAAAAATGAAGGTCAGCCTGATAAGGGTCTCTAAATGATACATATTGGTCAAAGAATAAAACACATACTCGCACTACAATCTTTGTCGCCAAATCCTGGTGGGCAATGGCACACAAAAGAGCCCCAGCCTTCTTCACAAGTTCCTCCATTCAGGCAAGGCTGTGAATGACAAAATCCCTTCTTTTGGGGACAACCAATCAACGTTCCATTATCAGCAACAAACCTGTTAAAAGATAATTTGGGACATTTGAGTAAATAATACAATAGAGAGAAATAGTTTATGCAAGCAGTTTGATCATGGCCAGCTCTAGAAATACGGGGGCCCTAGGCACAGAACTGTCAAGGGCCCTACTTTAAACAAAATTTAACAACTTTTAAATGATACATTAGTAACTTTGAGCTTATATTTATTTCCATTTTTGTAAAGTCATAATTTTAACAGATAGTTCTTAAGCACAAACATAAAAAAAAAAATGTATTTGTATCATTTAGGGGGTCCCCAGAAATGTGAGGGCCCTATGCTTCTCAGGTCTTATAATAAATCAGGCACTGAGTTTGATAGCCTCTGAAACAAATTTCTAGACTCTTAATCAAAAAAAAAAAAAAAAAAAAAAAAAAAAAAAAAAAAAATTACACAGTGTTTTATATTCAGCATCTACATATACAAGAATCCTAGACGAAAGAAAAATTTAAATATAAGGGAGCGTAAATTAATGTAATAAAAAACGAAAATGTTACCAAGGCCTAAGAATCATAACGGAAGGCAATAATTTATAAAATATCAAAATCTCGGATTGTTGGAGGAAACTGAACGAAGGTAAAAAGCCATTGCTAGGAACAAATTCAAATCTTATCCAACAAACAAATTGGTTTCAATACTTTTAATTATAGGTTATAAGTAAGGTATATATTATAGGTATATACAAGGTTATAAGTAAGATACTTTCAAAAAGTATTTATTTCATTTATTCTTAAAATAGTCAAGTATTCATCTCATCATTGTTTAAACCAAATAATTCAATTAATCTGCTGCAAATAAGAATATTAGAGGATCATTTTATTTTTATTGCCCTGGGAGTCACACTGATAGAAACTTTTATGCATCATTTTCAGTCAGTATAGCGATAAATAAATACATAAATAAGCAGAAGAAAATGAAGTAATGAGGAAAAAATTTCCCATACTATTAGATCATAACAGGTCTTGTGAACGAATAAGTAAGGTCCGGTTATGAAATCATTTAGTAACCAACATTGTATTAATTACTATGTTGAAAAATAAAAAAAAAAGAGAGGAAAAGAGTATTTCTAATACATACTACATATATAGGGAGCGACATCAAAAACAGAATTGAAACTCAAAATAAAACAAAACTAAAGAGTTTAGTTGTTTATGAGCTACGCAATGAAAGAGGCTGAGATATAGCTTAAAATATTTAAAATACAGTGTTTGTTAAGGGTAAGCAATGGATGATGTTTTCTATAGAAATGTACAATCCAATCTCCAGCTGTATGCCTGCTCTAGTTCCGGTTAGAAAGTTTGCAGCTGCTTACTGCATGTTATTCTGCGAGGCGATATTTCCAAATGGATAATTTTGTTTTCAATAAAAGAAATAAGTTAGATAATTTCTGAGCTCTAATCTGCCGTATTTCATAAGATATTAATGTTATTATGTAATTCTGTTGAGTTTGAAGTGAAAATTTGTTTTAATTATTTAGAGATATATTGTTAAAAAAGGTGTCATGGTTGCTAGATTTTGAATAACTCGCTTTTTTGCAGTCTTGATAGTGTTAACACTTTTAGCATTGTAAACACAAGTAATAAGTTATCAAATACATTGTTTGCAAGAATCTCAAAACACAATGATCCCAAATGGCTTTAAAATACAACGGAAACAGTAACCCGGAAATTTAGGCGGTACCGAGCTTGCAGCGTTCCCTAGTGTAGAAAACATCATCCATAATAAGTTTCCTGAAAACGGAATAAATTTAGAAAACTTCCGGTGTATCCCTCCGCTTATGTTATGCTTACCAGGCGACAAGTTTATTTAAGAAAGGTAATAGTTTTAGATAATTTAATATTAGCTTTACACGGTCAGCCATCCATGAAATAACGCTGTTTTTGCTAATATAACACTATATTCAAAACTGTTGAGAGTTTGTAACAATAGTAGTACGCTATTTTCTTCGCACTAGAGCTGCACAATGTGCTACTGGCCATTGCAAACTATCCCTTAGGATGATCCGAAGTCATGCGATTACAATTTTGATCCTCTGTATAGGGAAGAGCTCCTCCTTTTTGGTAGCCCAACAACCTGTCGAGGACTTCACAATCGAACGAGGAATGATACTGCGCACTCTCGGTTCCTACGCAAGCTGATCAAAGTGGTCACCCACCAACACACTGACCACAGCCAGTAATGCTTGACTTCTGCGTTTTTACTGGGAACTATGTTCTTACGATCAGTCTATTGCGGGACTGATAGGTAGGTAGGTACTTTATTTGCGTCATGCTAGAGCTGCACAATGGGGTATTAGTGACGGTCTGGGAAACATCCTTGGGGATGATCCGAAGACATGCCATCGCAATTTCGATCCTCTGCAGAGGGAATAGCACCTCTGTTTTGGCCACCCGACGACCTGCGAGTGAAATCGAGCACTATATGGTAGAACAGTTTAACGAGGGCTGATACCTCACACCCTCGGTCCTTACGCACGCTTATCCCAGTGATCACCCCCGCTTACTGATCGCAGTCAGTGATGCTTGATTTCGGTGTTCTACTAAGAAAAGTGTCTTTACAATCAGTCCACTGCGAAACCCACACCAGAACTGAAACAATTCATTGATTTGTATAATTTTTGAGTGGGTGGGAAATCATCGCCAAATTGGCGATTTTTTTAAATGATTTAAAAACAGCCTAAAGAATTCTTTTCCATAAGTTCATTTTTTTTCCGTTGAAAATTATAGCTTTGCCTCCAACGTAAGGTACTTAAACTGTGACTTTTTTTATTTTCCTGAAGAAAAGGCTATTAAAAAGTAACCAAAAAGAGAAAAAAAAAACTATGAACTAAGGATATTTGTATGGCTGTTGGAGAGTTGAACTTTTTTTTCAAAGCATGAAGTAAAGATAAACTTACGAATTAAGATCAACCATTTTATGATCAATGTATAAGTCCATGATGCATCCAATGAAATCCTTATTTTTTATCTGAAAATCTGATGGCAAAGCAGGCAATCCACCGATTTGCAATGGCCCAGTTAAGTCAAGGAATCTGTAACAAGTTTGCATCAAATCGGCACACCTGCAATGGAAAAGAATTGTTTTTAAAATAGAAACGATAGAATTGTATAGTTCGCTGTTTTAACAAAAATTATTTCGCAAAATAGTGCATGTTATATGCACGAAAATATAAAATCATGATTTTAATAAACGCTTATTAAATGAATGAAAAATGTTCTGTAATGACAAACCTTAATGTATACGATGTTTCTTAAAATACATATCACCTTCCACATATACGATTTCCAAAATGCTTGAAAAAAATGCCCACATATAAGGATTTCCTAATTATTATGGAAACGAAGAAAAGGCAAAACCGCCATCGTAATCTAATGAGAATCACTTCAAAGGAAAGTAGAAATGAAAACATCAAAAATAATGTCTTGGGAAAACAGAGTCGATGTGAAAGGTATTATTAGTAAGTTTCTGCAAATCAAATTGGTTTTGCTGTTAACATTCTTGCCTTCTCCAGTAATTCATTAAATTTTGAGAGCGCTTTTGTATTTTTTCCTAGATTAAATATTAATTTGCGACTTATAATAAGTGCACGCTATAAACTAACTGTTAAGGATTCTTAAAACAAACACATAGATAGGGTTTATTCAAAATGCGATTGCCCTAGACCCGCGTACGAATGTTTAGAAACGAACTGCTCGCGTTTGCATGAATTACATTGACGTGCGATTGTATATGCAAATCGCATGCAGTTAGGATGCCCCATTATGAGCTGTGATTACGGAAAACTAGGCGTATTTTTAGAATTGTTCTAAAAATACACCTAAAAATAAATGAAGTTAAAAAAATTGTGTCAGGGGTCTCAAATTGATAATAAATAAAAAAGAACAAAGACGCAGTCAAATTCTAACCAATCATTAATCCTTAGAGGGATTATTATAAGAGGAAATAATTATTGAGATATAAGAGAGATCAAAGCAGAGAGTGAAATAATATAAAATCAGATAATTTTAGAATAAAGTATTTCGGTTTCACTAACCGAATTAACTGATGTTGATAATTTTACCACCATAAAATTACCATCATTTGCATCAACGACATGATGCAGTTCAAAGACAAAATTAATGGACGTCCGTGTCAGCCTTCAAATGGAAGGGTTTGACATATGGACGAAATGTAATTTTTTCATTCAGCAGCAGCGTCATCTGTGGATTTTGAAATTTTGAAGAATAAAACTGGCTTCTGAAGTAGAATACAGCAACCCTCAAATTTTTTTTTATCCTCTACCATTTCATTAAAATAGTTTTTTCGAGTCTATGGTCATTTTTGAGATACCAGGATTATGTTTTTTAGGTTCCAGTAATTTGAGTTCAGTTCATTCAGTTATGTGCAATAATGACTAAAAGGGAAATAAAAAGTGTATAATTATATTACCTAGGCTCCAATGTATGAGTAACAGAATTCGCACATTTGTAGCTTAGTTCTTCGCCATATTTCACGGCAACACCAGTATCACAGCCATCCACACTCAAGATTGCAGTCTATAGAGACACAGGAGATAAAATATTGTGAGTTTTAATAAGTAATGAAGCTGTTTATTTTAAATTAATATAAACTTACACTGAAGAGCCATTACATTATGACCACCCACCATCTATAATAATGGCCACGCCCAGGTTTTCATGGTTTCTCGCCCAGGAACAATGTTTTCATGGGGCACATTAGGACCCATAATCCTCATAGAACAATCCCTGACGTCTGTAAGTTACTTGAACATAGTTGCAGACCAGGTTCACTAATTCATGGCAACAGTTTTTCCTGCGGGGGATGGTGTTTACCAACAGGATAATGCACCATGTCATAAGGGTCGAATCGTCGAGGAACATTCCAGTGACTTTCAAGTCATGTCTTAGCCCCCAAATTCACCTGACCTTAATCCAATAGAGCACTTGTGGTCCTACTTGGAAAACCAAATTCGTGCTGCTAGGCTATCCCCTCGCAATGTGAGGGAATTGCAGGACCAGATACCTCAGACTACCGATCAGCAACTCGTGGAATCATTGCCACGGTGGGTGCTAGCAGTTTTGAGGGCTAAAGGTGGTCCTACATGTTATTAGCAGGGTGGTCATAATGTAATGGCTCTTCGATGTATACTATAATAATATAACTTATTACTTACCCTGTTGAGGTATGTGAGTTCTGCCTCATGCCACTGACCGTCGCTTAACCCTCCGGGTATTCGGGCAGATACTTCTGAGACATTGGAGCCCAGTGAAAAGGAAACAACCAATTGACTGTCAATGATCTCCATTGCAATAAAGTCGTGCTTGTCGTTGTAACGTCCATTGTAAAGGATTAGAGCATTCTTTTGACGTGTCGCAAACCTAACACACAAATTTTAATTGATGAATGATTACTAACAGTCACATAACTTCCATAAACGAAACAGAACTAAATGAATGAAATAGTATCATAAATTGAATAAAATGTGAAAAAAATAACTTACAAAAATGGAAAAGAACAAATGGAAAGAATTGTGCTGCCCATTTTATTTGAATTAGTCAGGGGAAAAAATAAAACATGAAATAAATCTGTTTAAAGAATTATTTTTTTACCATTTTATCCCGCAATCCATTTTTATCGTAAATAAACAAATTTCGTTTACCTATTTATTTATATTAATCATCTTCCCATTTCCTTTTTAATAAATAAATGAATTACATTTTCCCTCGTTATGCTATCGAATTTCGTTATTCTATCTTCTCCTTATATTTCATAAATAAACTTTATTTTAATTTTAAATTATCTTCCCATTTTTTTTTTCGTAAATAAAGTAATTCCGTTACATTAGTTATACTATCAAATTTCGTTATACTATCTTCTACTTGTTCCTTATAAATAAACTTTATTAAACATTTGAAATTATCATCCCATTTTTTTATAAAGTAAATTTCGCAACAAAATTGAGTTATTTACTCGTTTTTTTTTTTAATGAACAAGTTTCTTTTACTTTCAGTATTACCATTCAATCTTTTTTTAAATAAAAAAAAAAAGATTTTTACTAAATTTTTTTTAAAAAAATTACTATCATTTTTACATCAAATATAAAAACGAACAGATAAAACTATAAAAAATAATTTACTGAGATATTAAATATTCTAATAATATACCGAGATATTAAATAAGACATACTATTATTGTATAAATCTATTCACAAGCAAATTAGTTATATTTTTAAGCAATTGGTCCTATCATAAGAAAGAATTAAAGTAAATAAAATGTGAATGATCAAAACGAATAAAATGTGAAGAATCAAAATGAAACCCTGAGAGCTTTACCATTATAGAATTAAATGTAGTTATGGCCTCACATTAATCAACTAGTGAAAAATAAAAATGAATAAGCTGCCACAACATATATTGATAACAGTTAAATCACATTATCAAGTTTATTATCTTGTTGATCAAGCCAGATTGAACTATTCGCAAGCAAATATCAAATTATTTGACATTCGAATTCAATCGACTGTATCCTAGATTCTATCAAACGGAAACTCAACAAGTCAAACAATTTCCGAGACAACAGAATTACAAAAGCACTCGGGATGACTCATTAATTGATGGACTAAGCTTGTTACCTGAGCCTGATGTGGAGCCTGTGCCTTTGCCTGAGAGACGGGAAGGTCAGGAATGATCCTCTAGAGAAACTCCTAGCTCGCAATTCACACAATCGAGTACTCCAGGATGCTTGGGAGCAATTCTCGCATCCGAAACCTCCATCTCCTAGATTCATGCAGTGGGAATCGCCGTGACATACAGAACGAGATATCTCCCCGCACCTGTCCTCCCACAAATTGATCTCACAGTTCTTACCTGTAAGAAAAGGGGTAATTGGTTGAATAATATTGCTTTTAAATGGCAAAAATCAAATTAAGACATATTTTAAAGGTTTATTCGTCGCATTAAATAATATGAATTCCAAGTAATATGAATAATGTATGAATTAAATGTATGAACTAAATAATATGAATAATTATAATAATAAACACCCTTTAGTGAATAATATGTGCTATTTTTAGAACTATTGTATTTATAACAATTAATCATGATTGTTAGGTTAAGTTTTATCCATATATTTAGCCATTGTCCTCTAAGTTAAAGAATGGTTAGCAATGATTATTCATAACTTTTAGATGAAGTTTTGTCTATCCTTAGTCAGTACCTTCGGAGCTAATAAAACATATAATAATAAATTTTCTGTAAATGTTCTTCTCATTTAGAGAAAACTTATCGCTAGATATTCTTATTGCCTAATTTAAAAATATGTTGTATTTGTGATAAGTGTCATAAACATAAAAAGCAAAGACTTTACTAATGTCAGTAATTTCCACTCATTTTCTTGTCAACAAAATGTATCGATTTGTAAGGGCTAAATATTTATCTTTATCATCTAAGTGATTCCAGTGTTCGTTTTATAATGGATATGTACCAATGGATTACGCATAAATTAACAGATTCGAATAAATCATTCTAGTAAACTTATTCAATTTATATTCAACTCAGAACCAACCGCTTTGGTTTTATTAACCCATTCCAATTAAATTATTCAAAGTTATGTACTTAAATTTTAAATTAACAGATTTGATCAATTGATTTAAACTAACTGACTCGGATCACATATATAAATATAATGATTCAAATTAACTTATTTGATTTAGTATAAAGTGATTCAATTTATTTTTAAAATGATGGTTTGAACGAAAAAATTACTCAATAAGTTTTACACCAGTACCAATTAAGTACACAAATCTAAAATTAAACTAACACTACCATCAGTGTATAAAATCAGTGATTCTAACTAATTTATCGGATTTTGATCATTATTAAAACGATGTTTTGAATCTATGAATCACTTCGGTGATTCATAGATTCCTGATTAAATCTCTTATTTGATATCTAATTTTGAAACTAAACTGTAACTAGTAATAATTAATTATTGAATTCGGTACAAACTGATTTCATTTAATATTAAAACGATAATCTGAAATAAGGAATCACTAAAGTAATCTAAATAACCAAAAGCGTCAAAATCTACAAATGACGAAATCAACGTCAGTTAATAAAATTAATGATTCGAATTAATGTTTCACAGAATCGTTTTAATAATGTATCGAACTGAATTTTACTGAATCCTTAGGAAATTATTGTTCGGTTCCTTAAAAACTAATTAGATTCGTAATTAAAACAATGATCTGTGCCAATTAATGACTTTGGTGATTTAAATTACTAGTCAATGTCTAGCTTTAAAACTAAATCGACATCAGCAGGAAAGAAGACATCTGAAATAAATATTATACTCTAAACAAATTCCAAATATATTTTATCTATTTAGAATAAACGTTTTATTTCTGATGTGACCGATAAAATTCCAGTTGACAAATTTTTCTTAACGAACACTTGACGACAACAAACTATTACACGCAAGGGAAGAAAAATTGGAAAAACCTTTCTTCCAAAATGACATATATTATTAATCGACTAAAAACACTCCGGCGCAGTTTTTCTTTTACCCTTTTTTTTTTACCCGTTTCCTACCCTAACAAGCACGCAGGCTCAGTTGGAAACGTGTTCTTTCAGCACTCCGAAAATGGGGGGAAAAAAATTCTTTAACGTGGAGCCCATAAAAAGGATTTCCTCTTTTTTTCCCCCTCTGAAACCAACAGTAGAATTCGTTATACCCTCCCCTTCTAAGGGAACAAATTGCCTGTGATGCCAAAAAAGGGAAAAAATCTGGAAAAAAAAAAGCAAAGGAAAACTTTCTAATTCTCTCTTCGAAAATGTCAACTTTTATATAAAAGTTTATTCTAAAAAAGTGAACCGGAATAAGAAGATTTAAGGAAAATGGGTGTCCAAGCAATTACACTAATCTGGATTTCCAAATAGTTTAAACTTTTGAAAAAAAGAAAAAAAAAAGAAAAAAAAAGGCTTTTCGGATGAAATGTTATGCTATTTTTTTAATTCCATTTTGACGTGTATCTAACAGCGAATTGTCTTATAAAAGAAGAATGTCTTATAACTTTGACGATCAGAATTTTGTATTTAGTTTTTTTGTTTGGATATTGTTTAAGACACAAAAGTTTGCTGCTACTATACTACACCAAATGAGCGTTTAAACAAATACACAATTCTGATTTTCCAAATGGTTTAAACTTCTTTTTTTAAGCTTTTTTTTTGTGTGGATGGAATGTAATCTCATTTCTTAATGTCTATTAGACATGCTTCAAATTACAAAACGGATTGCCATTTCTCTGAACAAAGGTTATAACAGAACACTTTATAACTTTGACAATCAGAATTTTGTATTTGATTTGTTGGTTGGATAATGTAAACGACACAAAAATATAATGAAATTATGCTACACCAAATGCGATTCATTTGCTCGATAAGTATAAACTGTTAGTGACTTTTATAACTTAGTAATTTACTCTTATTAATTTCACTTAGCAATTTTACTTATAGATGGTTCTTAGTGACGTCAAAAATGTATTTTAAAAAATAAATAATTTTGAGTATCGTAGGACGTGTGTTTAGATGTTTACAAATTTTGTACAAATAATTAATACTTTTGATCTCATTGATGGATATTTTTCACCTCAACTTTTTCAATGAATTTATACCAAAACTTTTAAATAACAATGATTTCGCCAAACTAGTTGGATGTTACTATTGCGTATCATGTTTTACGAAGCTCTTTCACCAAGAAAAATAAAAAAGCCCCAGTTAGTGCTTTAGAGTTGAGTCAAAGCTATTACTTTAAACTATATATAACAGCTTGACGTAAAGAATTATTTGGGCTTTAGAATAGACACATAACTAAAATATTTCAAAAGTTATTAAACTTTTTTGAAAATATTACAAATTTGGCTAAATTTTTCCACCTGGATGAAAATTATTAAAATCATGGAACAATTCTGAATTTTTTCGTATTTTTATGAGCCCAGATAATGCAGCGTTGACTTTACTTTTTTAACATTAAGAAATTGGGACAACAAACGTATTTCATTTCTACCAAACTGTGGCTTTTCTTCATATTGGTATCTAGTGTTATTTTCATAATTACCGCTGAGAAGCGCAGCTCTGGTTAAAGATTGGCAAAAATTAACATAATAGCCATGAATAACTGATACAAACTAACAACAGTAAGGAAAATAACATATTACTATGAGGCTTCGCCCCCTGCCGCTCGCCAACCCTCGGAGCTGCTTTCGCAGTTCATTTCGGATTGCTCTGCAATCCGATGCTCGCTTTACTCGCGCATTGGATACGTTCTTAACGTCTAGCTTTAGTATATTTTTTTGAACACTGAAGTTCCAAAAACTTTTCACTGTAGAAAATTCTAAACCTGTGCATTTCAATATTAATTTGAAATTGCAAACAGTTCACATATTTTTCTTAATCACACTATTCTAANATATATATATATATATAATATGTGTGTGCGGCGCAGTTTTAGGAAAATGTCAGATACGTTGTTCGCATTCTAAGCCTCAAAAACAGAAGTCCTGCAAAAGACAATAAAGAGCCCCCACACTCATTTAATATCGTAGCAATAAATGCAGGACAACATAAAAAAAAAACATGTATAAAGAAGAAATCAGGTATCACGAAAACGAATCCTTCGGCAGCTGGAATGGCTGTCACACACAATGTCGCTTGGGACGTCAGAAAAGCTGACGTTATTAGATCCGATTCCGTTTTAGTAAAACAAGAAGGCGTTTGTTTTGGGTAGACGACACTGAGTCCAGATGTTATTTGTCCCTTCCTCCCTCGGGGATGCTGGAGGGGACGAAAAAAGGAGAGCCAGCGGCATCGAAAAACGACAGTGGACGAAAGAGAGTATTTTGTCAAGGAGGAGCTATCTAATGGAATAGGCTCCGTTTCGGAAGAGGTAGTTTCGAGTCACATTATCCAAATAGTTTGTTGTCCTAATGCAATTCCGATGGGCAAAAGAAATGGGCGTTAGATGAAAGTTGCCACACTCTTTGAAATGGACAGTAGTTAAGAAAGTGTAAGAATAAAACACAGCTAGACGGTTGTTAATTTAATTGGAAATACTACCACTTTCTCCCAGTGGAATTACAAAAGCTACTATTGGAGACAATTCTTTTTACAATTCTACCACATAAACCAATCTACAAATAAGTAAATATTATACTATCATACTCGTTTTAGTTGTTAAACTTATTACTATTTTTAATAGTTAGTTCTACATCATAATAATTCTTAAAAGTACTAGATTTTATTTATTTGCTATTTAAGTATATGTAAGCTGTAAGCTAGATTATGATTCATTTGTTATTTTAGTATATGTAAGCTGTAAGTTAGAGTTTGAATCATCGGTTACTATGGTGATATTATAGAACAAACTTTTGAGTTAAAATAAAGTGTTATGTTTCTTGTTCTTTAGTAAAAATGGTGTCAGAATAATTTTATTTTAGTTATGTAGTAGTTTCTAGTAAAGAACGACAAAATATTGCACTTTCTGGTAAAGTCTCTTAACATTTATGTTGACCCGGACGTGATTTTACGAAGAATTAATACTATAATTTATGGAATTCAGAAACAACGGAAGATTGTTCGAAGCTCTTTCATTCGATTAAGTAATCAGATTTTAAATGAAATAAATAAAAATCCAGCTTACAGCTTACATATACTTAAATAGCAAATAAACAAAATTAAGTACTTTTAACAATAATTTTATCCTTTAGAAACAAACTTCTACATAGTTTCTTAAAAATGAAACTATTAGATATCAGGCCAAACTGAGGTATTTTATGCTTTTTTTGCAGTTAGTTCCAAATTGTTATTATTTA